CAGGAAGCATTGTGTTGTCCCACAGATGAGTAAGAAGGAGCATACTAAACTTCCCAAAAGCAACGTTTTAAAAAAAGTAAACTGCACACACATACTCTTCCAAATCATCTGGATTTCATAAAACCGAACCGCACTGTGGAAGGAGCGTCGGGAAGCCAAACATCAAAACATCGTCCAGGCTCAAAGCAGCTAGCCACACACTAATTAGGAAAAAAAAAAGACTGGGCCAGATATGAAGACCACAAGAGCTTAAAGAAAACACGAACTACACAGACACCAGTAACAGTCACTGGGGCCTCTAGGCTCTTCTGCGCCAACCGTGCAGCGGCAAGGAGGGAGCCCGATGACAGTGGGCACCGTGCAGCTGGCGAATGCCAGGTCAGACCTTCCCCACGGCTTCACGTGCTTGCCCTCGTGCTTGTCTGGTGTGATCTGCTCGTGGCTCCAAGGCTGCGAGGTGCACACGCAGATCCCGCGCCACAGGACCAGCACAAGCACACACCAGTGAGCCCTGGCGAGGGGGATGAGACAACTCCCCGTCGTGCTGAGCCCTCCCCTGGCCGCGCACTGGCCTGTCTGGCACCTAAAACACATTCTTGATATCCTGAAAACCAATCTCTTCTAATTGTTATAAATGATGTGGACCTATGCGACGTGTCAGCCTCACAGTGCTGTTGAGCAGCCTGTGTAATTAAGTGACTTCCAATTTTCACTGCTGAATGTTCCTTTCCTAGCACCGAAGGTACTACAGGTCAGTTAGAGAAAAACAGGTTACTTCGTGAAGCCGTCGGGAACCATGGCATTCGCGCGTCATTGCAAGAGCAGACATGAATGCCCTACTCGTGTCTTCAAGGGGCACACTGTCCACTTAACACACCACAGCCGGAGGCACTTTCTCCAGAACATCTCTCTGTGGGCGGACACCCAAATTCTGTCTCTGGCTCTGAGTTTCTGAGCTCCACACCCATCAATCCAACTGCCCATGACGTCCCACGCCCCAGCCGAACCGGCGCCCCAGCCTGCAAAGGCAGAACGTGCAAAACTGAACACCTGACTCTCACTGCCTACGCCTCACCCCTGCCCTGCTTAGAGGATGTGCCGCGTCCACACGCTCCATGCTGAGGACAGGAGTATGGTGCGTCCTGCCACTTCGCGCTTACCCGCTCCAGCCAATTCATCCATCACACAGACCGTGGTCGTTCCACAGACACGCACCAGCCACAAAACCGAGTGCCCGACCTCAGCGACTGTGCTCTGTCCCCCCGTGGCTGCTTCCTGGAGCCATGCCTCTGTCACCTTCCAGGGGGCCGCTGCTAAGCATATCCTTACCGCTGCTCTGCTGGCAGGACTGAGCCCTCGAGCCCATGCTCTCTGAAGGACTGACAATCGACTTTCGAAACCTCACTTTGACCCTATCAGGCCTTTATCTGAACCCCTTTGATGCTACTTCTCAGAGCAATACCAAAAATGCACAAGCCCACCAAGATCTCAGGGACTCTTAAGTTCCTCTGGGACACAGCCAAACTCCCGCACCGGCCGCCACCCTCCAGCTGCAGCAGAGCCCGCAAGGCCCACACCGCGGAGGACACTCACCACCTGGGTCCCCTCAGGAAAAGCACGCCGACTGCTGTACGAGACGCGGTCCTGCCTCCCCTGTTCCAGAGGCACCCTGGAAGGCTGGCCCCCAATTCCGTGCTCCGGCACAGGACACAACGGCTCCACAATGGCTGCACCTTTGCCCGCAGCCCCTCGTCTGAGACTCTCTGCCCACCAGGCTCTGCCCGGCTAATGCGTGCGCGCCCGTCAAGCTCCAGCTTAAGAGGCACTTGCTCATGAAGGCCCCCGCAGAAGCGCACTCTCTGCCGTGCTTGGTCGGCAGACGCCCTGGAGCGACAGCCTCTGACGTCATGCACTCGCTCGTAGTCACTTCTGCTTCGCCCCTGAAGTGAGCAAGGGCGTGCGTGGGTGCTGATAAAGACATTCTCCGGGGGAGGAACTATCCCGAGAGCCGGGGGCATACTTCGTTTTATTACGTCTATTGTTTAATAAGCTGATGAATTCGGCATCTTAGCATTAAATCTGGAATCTCTTTTTCAAAAAACTTGTGTTATTACTTTTTTTCTAGTTCTAAATGTATGCTTTCACTGTGGAAAGTTTTCAAAGAGGCCAGAAAACAAGAAGAGTGTGGGAATCCCTGGGAGGCTCGGGAGGACGCCACCTTCCCAATCTAGGAAAGGAAGGAGCAGGCCCCCACGGCCTCCCTCCCACGGGGACTGCTAGGGGACGAGGCAAGCCGGGATGAAGACACTGAGCGGTTGCTCTCTGTCCTGGGTTCTCTGGCTCTGCGGCAGGGCCTGTGGCTGGCAGCTGCGGCATGAGCCACATGGGAAGGAGACCCCGCCACACGCAGAGACGAGGTAGCAGCCGGGCTACCGCAGATGCGGCACAGAAGCCACGTTCTCCGCTCCAGCTTCGGGAGGTAGAAAGGCGATCTTTGGATTTCTATCTAATGTCCTGTGTTGTTCCTATTCCCCATGGAGCCCCAGTTCTGAAATCCTATATCCCAATTAGAAATGCTAACACTGATACTTTCCTCCCATTTTTTCTAGACATCTTTTTTTTTTTTTTTTTAATGTGTCAGTCTAGAAAACGCCAGCAACAGACACGCAGACACTTCAAGGTTAGAAAGTGGAAATCACACTCTGTCTTTACACAACAGGCACCTGGTACTCTCTCTTGGAATAAACAGTGCCTGACAATTAACTACTAGTTTCACGTTGAGTTTATTATTCTAGTACTACTGAAAGGAACAGAAGACCTCCTCTTTAGACTATCAATAACCGGAAGCTAAATCTTGCGTGTCTCCAGCTTCCACGAGGCCGTCGGTCGCTGTGCTACACGATCTCTTAGCACAAGTCACGAAGACTTAGGTCAGAGCAAGGATCCCAGAGTGCTGTCTTTTTCTACGAGCAAGTACTTCCTACTGACTAGAGAGAGCACACTGCGTTCCCATGCCTCCCTGCATGAAGGCAGGTGCACACAAACCGCGAGGGAGCCCTGAGGGAGGGGCAGCCAGCACAGGTAGGGCTGGGAGAGGTGAGCCAAGTGCAGGGACCCACCACCAGGACAGAAACACAGCTGCGCGGCCAGTGGGCGAAGGCCAGATGGTGGCAGTGGGCGAAGGCCAGGTGGACGAGCTGTCGTCAGCGGTCCGGCCCAAGCACCTCCACATGGAGACCTCCTCTCAGGGCCTCAGCTGAGGTCCTGTCCTCCACACTCACTCGATGCCCCTCACCCCTCCCCGTGCTGCAGTCTGTATAACGGTGCAGGGACCCCTCCCGGCAGTGAGAGGACTCTCCCACGGCCTGCCATCTGGAACCACTCCTGGGGGAGAACGCAGGCCTGGGGCCAGCACCGTCCCTTCTGCCTCTCCCCCACAGGCACCGTGAAAGGAGGCGTGACTGGGACTTCAGCCCATGTCCCAGTCCTAACCGCCCACTGACACCTGGCCACCCGGCAAGAACAGAGGCCAGAGGCCCAAGGGGGAGGCGGGGGCAGGGGCCTGCGTGGGGCCCCTATGTGTGCAATGCCTTTACGGGTTACAAGTAAGGATCAGAGGCGCTTAGGTAAATACGACTTTGCCTTTCAGGGACCAGGTGGTTCTGTACTGAGAGCACAGCTTTCCGGGCCGCAGAGAAACAGATGGAGAAGACCGAAGTGCTGACAACCCCACAGGTCAGTACTTCAGACCCCAAGCAAGATGAGCGGGGAAAGAGGATCCATACGTATAAATGCATAATAGGAAACGTGCAGGTTAAAGTTTTCCTGTGTCGAATTGTGGCATGTAACATCCTGGTATTTTTTTCCCCTAAAAATGAGCATTTGATTCAGTTGGTAAGTATAGAAAATAGTCCATGTCTAATACCTTCCTATTCACAACTTTGTAAGTTTTGGGTTGTGGGTCCATTAAATTAGAATAGCCTGGAACTATGGCCCATAAGCATGACCCTTATCAGGAGTAAGGGACTCTGGGCCATGAGCTGGACTGACAGGTTCTGGACCTGCTGTCTGGCCCAGCTTGGGTGACCCCACGTAACCTGGCACCTCAGAACCAGACTACTGTGACCTCTGTCCACACCTGACACTGGCTCCCCTTGGCCAGCTGGTTCCCAGCTGGAGCCCCACCAGGGTCCCAGGTTCTTCTAGTTATCCTACATACCATGCCCTTCCCAGACGCAGCTTCCTGAAATGCCAAATTCCAACATGTCCCTTTCATTTCTCTGTGGAGTCTACAAGACGCAGTGCAAAGCCCTCACGTGTCAATCAGGGTTTCCAGAACCACCGGAGCACCACTCTCCCTTAGCCAGGCGGGTTTCCAATGACCCTGACACAGCCTGCAGCCCTGCTTCACACCATCAGTGCGGCTGGCTCCCAACCACATACTCTAAGGCTGGCTGGGGTGTTCTCTGTGGGAGGCTATGGCACCTGGCACATAGCGAACCCACATGTGGCCCAGGGAACAGAGGTGACCTCCTCGGCCCCACCGCACACCCACTGGAAGAGAGCACCTGGATGAGGATGCAGAAGCTGGCCTGGGTGATGAGTGTGCAGGGACGCATGTGTGCACCAGCACTCGAGGAGCTGTCCGAGGCCCCGCTCTGTCCCCGTGCGAGCCCTAGCTCCCGTCTCGGACTAAGGGACCCTCCCTTCTCCAGTGCCTGTTATGGCTCATCAAGTTTTGCCTCCACCTGCTCCTCAGGAGTACCAGTGACTCGGTGTCAAGGTCACACTGTCTGCAGCTCCCCTGGACAGCAGGATGCTATCCCTGCGCTGCCTGAGTGCCGTGAACCCTTCCATGGACCCCTCCCCGAGAAGCAGAACCACAAGCACGCTCTGTCCACAGGCAGCGAAGGGCTCCCCACGCTCAGCTCCGGCCCGTGGCTGACTGACTCAAGGTGCAGAGCGAAGAGGGACGACTCATCCCGCTGACCGCGTCTCACCTTCGCTGCGACAATGCTGAGACCCATCCCGTTTTGCTTTTTCAGAGTCACAGTGATGATTTCAGGTTCTTTCCTCAGAGGCTGAGCCTGGAGGACAGAAACAAAGGTTTATTTTATGGCTAAAATGAAGTGTTTCTAGGTTAGACAGTCACGAGTGACAGGGCCGATCACATTTGCTGTGGTTAACGGCCCAGACAAGGATTACAGATAGGGCTCATGGCGTGACCAGCAAAGGATCAGTACTCTCGCCTCCAGAGCCGTGAAGACACTAGTCATGAACACTATTTAAACGTGAAAGAACTTATTTTAGAAAACAAAAGTACATTTCCATTACTATCAGATTAGAAAAACCCAATCATAAAAATGAAAGTAAAATGTTACTGTATTACCTTTCAATATAAATTACTAGGTGTTTTTTAAAGAAAAAAGGCAAACTTATTTTACACCATCCATGGGGAGGTCAGCATGAGACAGCTGTAAGAAAGATGATCTAACATGAGTCTCCTGGAAGAATGCAGGGCTCATGTGACGTTAGGCCACCCTGAGATGCGGGCAGCACTGCTCCAAGTACTCTGGGCTCAGGGACGAGGTCAGTCCTTGAACTGATCCCTAAGCAAACACGGAGCTGTCCACTGAAGTTACATGTTATCCGTATGTCACACCTCACCCAAAGAAGAAACAAAATTACAGAGGAAAACCACCAGTGCATACACACTATGGGATCCGCCAACAAGTGGTCGTTACATACATGGGGCTTGTTCATTCAGAACCAAGGTCAGTGAGAGAACACTGGAAGGAAAATAATTTGTTTTGAGATTAAGACTTGAACGCTCCCAAGGGATCTCTGAGCACACTAGGAAGACGAAGAACCCATGATCCCATCCAGGAAGGTATTTGCTGTCCTATTAAACCTGGGAGTTGGGAACAGCTATTAGTTGGACTGTGGCAAACAACTCAGGAGGCCCAGAGAGTGCTGAGAGGCACCGTATCCGGGTCAGAGGCTCCGGGCGACCGGCTCCCACGTGGCGGGGCGGCCAGCCGCTACCCCGGCCGCTGGAGACGGGAGGACACACGCCCCAGTCTAAAGCTGGCCGTTCAGCCATGACGAATAGTAACTTGGAATTTGATATACAAAACACCGTGCGTGCTTTACTTTGCGGTAAGTATTGCCACCTTACGCCACCTGACACAATCTACATTTTCTTAGAATTTAGGTACAAGAGAGGTGCACAGCTTTGACAGGCTGCTGGTCAGTATTGTCGGGTGTACAAGGAAGTCTCTGGAGCATCAGAAGCTACCTGGCTGTGTCTGCACCCCAGAACCTCTAACCCTTGGCCCAGGCACACTGGACAATTCCCATTGGCGGGCAGGGGAAGACACGGCCACATGCAAACACGCACAACACACTGAGCCTGACCCCCAGGAACTTGGACCAAAGTACAGTCCCATCTGTTTGTTCCTTCCAAGGCTTAAGTGGCTTAAAAGATGAAAATGGTAATTACAGGAAGATAAGTAATGTGAAAGATATCTAAATGAAACTCCACAACAAAGTTCAAAAAGGAAGATTTTCCTTTGTTTCTATTGATCAGATGTGGCAGTCCAAGGCACAGGGACACAACACAGTCTTTGTTATTTAAATCTCTAGGCAGGAGGCAAAGCAGAACTCTCCACACAATGCACGAAGCTAGTGAAGAGAGGACTGACCAGCTTCCAAAAGATACAAAATTACCAGCAAGTGATTTGACACATATTTAAAACAAGGTAGAACCAACTATAAGGAGAAAATAGTTCTACCAAAGAAATACATTTTCTAACAAAATTCGTAAGGCTATCATATTATCTTTTTAAAAATATGTATTAACATTAAGGCTGGTATAGCTGAGGGTAGAAATATTTTTGTTTATGGACAAAAGTATATAGACAATGGCCTGGAAAAAATATGTATGTATATAAGTCCTAGTTTCAGATTTTTTAAAATAAAATCAGTACTTAAAGATGATTTTAAAATACTCTTAGCACAACAATGCTCACTATAACCACAGAACGGGTTTGCATTACATTTTCACACCGTATGGGACACGCGTGGGTGTGTGCCGCACCCGTCACACTCGTGATACTTGCCAGCTCCGTGCTCTCGCGCAGAAGGTGGCTCTCGTAATCTGCACCTTCAAAGTAGATCGTCCAGGTGCCTGGTGAGCGTGCATGAGGAATTAACCTACAAAATCCTGAGGAGAAAGCAAGCAAATTATAAAATTGAAAAGGAAGGCAAGTCAGCCACATAATCTCCAAGAAGGGCAGCAACATCACGGGTCAATGGCTCGGCACCTCCAGACGACCCTTCTTCTTCGTACTCTACGTACACTTATTGCCTCTGGAAATGGAACTTTCAGACATTTAAAATCATTGTTTTGGTCTGATGGAATTCAACACCAAGCTGAAAAGTGAAACTGGTCTCCCCATCCTGTTCGTTTCAAAGAACTTTTCTCCCTATTTCTATGAGAAATCACCGACGTGCACTGTAACGCCTTCCTTGCTGACCAAGTGCTCAGCAATACCCAAGAGGCCTTTCTCAACAGAGACCGCTGTGAACAAGTAGTGAACAGCTAGTGAACTAGTTCACACGTCTGCCCAGTGTCACACCCTGGGCTCTACGGTTTTCAGGCAGGACAGTGTCTGACCTGTAGGATGGGCCCCTTCACACAACTCTGTCCAAATTTCCTAACCAGTCACTTAAATGTCTTACAAATAAGTTTCAGAATCATTTTATAATGTTTTGAAAAGTATTTATGATATTCTCATCAACAAATGACAGCTTTATAAAACTAACCTTTTCAATTCAAAATATGTCATTCTTCATTTAGGCAGATCTTATTCTGTGTTTCTCTGGACCTTCCTGACAAAGTTGTATCACATAGGCCTTGCACATTCTTATATTTTCTCCAAAGCGGTCTGGTCTTCCTATTACTAGCAGCTCAACAGTTCCGAGGAGCCTAGCGTGTGCCCGACGTCACACGGATGGCTCTTGCCAGCACGCAGAGCCTCAGCTAGTCCCTGGGACTGGGGAGAGCCCTGGCTGATGCCTCCCAGCCCTCTCCACTCTAGGATTCCAGCCGTGAGGAAAGTTTGCCTGTTACTTTGGGGCACTTATGAGGTTTTTTTGCAGTAAGCAGAAAAGGAGATGTCAAAAGACCACAGTTAAAATAAAGATATAAACTTATAGCCCTTTTTATAAAAAATCACCATTTCAACCTATTTTCATTAAAATATACCTACAACTTCTCTTTCCCCCACTTGAGGGAACTGTGATTATGACAATTTTGAAATGAACAATCTTTATTATTTTCTTATTTTTTTCAAATGTCAAGGCCGGATCATACATCAAGCAGACATCAAGCAGGAAATGCATCTCAGATCAGGTGTAAGTCCGTGCTGGTTTTACAGCCTTCTCTCACACAACTGTGTTATAGGACAAAACAAAAGGAACATAATTGAGAGCACACAGTAGTCCCTTATTCGGCTCAAAGACTTGAGCGTGAAGAATTAAAAACACTGATGTCATAAAAGAACACACCCAGTTCTTTGTAAGTCTTGCAAAGGCTCCTCTGTAATAGACTGTGTTATCATCTGACACATACAGAAGGAGGCAGGGACGCCAAGACCGTGATGAAATACCACGTATGTTCTGAAATCAATCACTCTGGGAGCCTCAGGGGAAGTCACGGAGGAGACTTCACCACCCTGGCAGGAGCTCACTTTTCCTGACCTGGCAAGCTCTGGCTCTGCGGCACGCATCACAGAACCGACAGCTGCGTACGCAAGTCCACACACACACATCTGGAAAATGCTAGTAAACCCGTCTTGCTGTGCGCTCATTCACAGGGTTAGTGAAGAGCTGAGCACTCGCAGCCCAGCAGCCCTGGGCTGGGGGCTGAGGGTCAGGGGCCTGGCCCCCAGGACTCCAGCTCGACCCCAGAGACAGGCGGACACATGCGTTTCAAGGGCTGTCACAAAAATGTCCCAAAAGAACAGAGAATCCCTTGTGGGGAAAGTGGCGTTAAGTGTCGGGAGCAGGCTGAGGTTTTCTAGACACAGGGCTACCTGACCGGGACTTCAGAAAGTAAACCCAAGCGTGCGAGTGAAGCAGCAGGTGGGGGTGCGGTGGGGCAAGGCCCAGGGGTGTTAACACCAACATGTTAATACCAACGACGGGCTGGGAGCGGGGTGTCCTGCTCAGCCGCCGGCGTGCTCAGCTCCCGGGGGTGAAGGGGAAGTGTAGGGGGGTGGGGGGGGCGGAGATCCAACAGCCATGAAGCAACTGAGGGCGGCGGAAGGTTGGGGGCACAGAGGGGGCACAGAGAGTGGTCCGGGCAGCAGCCAGCCGGAGTGTGTGGCTGCCCCCCACACGTGGGTGTGCCAAGTGCTGATGGGCCCGGCCCTGCAGGCATGACAAGCAGTGCCCGCATGGCAATGGAGGCCCCTGGGCTCGACCCTGAGGCCACACACGGGTGCCAGGGACCAGTCTGGGCCTGCTCTGCTGGGCAGGAGGACTCCCCCCATAGGAGCCCTGACATGGGGACTCCCACTGCCCGACTGAGGCTTTCTCAGACGTCACTGCAGCCTGGACCTCTGTCCTACCTGCTCGTCCCAGACATGAGCCCAGGCTCGTCCCAGCCACGTTCCTCCTTCACACAAAGCTCCTCGAGGACGCACCCGCCTCAGCTCTGCTGCTCTGAGGACGGTGCTGAGAGAAAACAGGAGTCCGCACTCCCGGCACAACCAGACACGCTGGCTACTAACACACCACCCTTCACTACAAGAAGCAGCCTTTGTAGAATGGAAATTTTAAACTATCATAACCTTCAGAGACATAACAATCTATTTATCGTAGCATGTGAAACAGTCACTGAAATTAAAAACCACACTCACCGAATTCACGTCGGCGAGACTAACCCTTCACTTTGCCACTGTCATTTTTGTTTAAGCTAATTCCTGAACTCTGAATCTGTTTCTCAATTCACCTGAGCTCACGTTACAAAACATAGCAGACTGGGGCTGAACTGGGGTCTGATTTAGAAGTTTGTGCTTCGAGTGTAAACGTGGTATTTTGGGGGGAAGAGGCAGAGGGAGAGAGAATCTCAAGCAGGCTCCCCGCTGGCCAGGGAGCCTAACACGGGGCTCGATCCCAGGACCCCGAGATCAGAATCTGAGCTGAGACCCAGAGTCAGCACCTTAAACTGCCGACTCCCAGCACGTGTGGGATTTTTACCACCACATTCCGACAAGAATATGTAAACGGCTACGGGATCAGACCCGGGGAGCTCGCTGCCCTTAGACAAGCCCAGCGAGAGCGTGGCTCACGAGCCCCGGCAGGCGCTGCATATGTGCTCACGGTGGCAGCTGTGCCAATGCGAGGTTATGGCCGTGCCCTGTGCCACAGGTCTAAGTGTCCCACAGGCGGCTGGCCCGGTCCCCTCGAGTGCCTGCCATCCACGTGCCCGTGTCCTGGAAGGGCAGTCTCACGGGACAGAGCTGGGGTGCGAGGGGAGACGGTGTGCTTGTCGCCCTCGCGCTGCTCCCGACAACTCCAGTGGTAGCCACATGCACGGATCATTTTCACGGGATAAGCCAAGCTCCCAGCTCCCCAAAACCAGCAGAGGAGCAACCAAAGGCCCTCTCTCCTAGCAGGCCAGGCAGCAACGTGGCTGTGACAGCTGGCGGGTGGAGCCATGCCATGGGAGGGTCACAGCACACCCACGGGAGCCTCATGGTGCGACAATGCGGACTCCACAACACCATGAAATGCTTACTTCCACGTCCTGCCACACGGCTTTCTCCAGAAGCACATGCTGTGTGCTCCACACGTGTGGCCTGACGCACGTGCGCACACCCACACCCACAGCCACCCGGTACAGTGCTCACTCCGAGCCGGGTCAGAGCTTGGACTCCAGGCACAGTAAGCGGGACGCACCTCTCTGGCACAGAGGGTCTAAGAATTCCTGCAGGCCGTTGGGAATGTTCCTGACGACGTCGCAAGAGTAGCCGTCTTCTGGCAGCAGGAAAGGCAGCTGCAGATCAGGGTCCTCCTCCAGCTGCACCTCCCTGCCGTCACTGCGCGCCAGCTCGTCCGCCGTGTTCTCGGCCACAGCCACCACGTTCTCGATCAGGTCCTGGTCAGAACACAGACGCACAGTGAGCACGACACACCAGCGGGCTGCCACTCAGACCTCTCGTGCGTGCCGCGGCCACACACGCAGGCAGGGCTGCGAGGGACAGCGTCCCCAGTGTGCCAACACCGGCGTGCCAGGCGACGGTCGCTGGTGAAGCACAGCCTGCAAACACGCGAGCCAAGATAGTCAGGGTTAATCTCGAGTAACATGCAGCCTTAAAAGGAAATTGTTCACTCGTAAGAAAACGCTTTCCCTTTGCCAAAATAGCAATTTTTTTCCCTTGCAATTTAACATCCAGGTGCTAATGATCCAATTTTTGCAGAATTCATAATGACAGAAAAAACTCACACAACGGCGAATGTAAAAAATCAGGACAGAAATATCTATCCCCAGCTAATCGGGAAAGAAAGCTCCCCCGGCTTCACTGTACAGCTCGACAAAGTGAACATGGCGCCTCAAGTCCCCGAGTCACAGAGCAGAGCCCTCACGGGAGAAGCAACCCTTGCTGCCCTGTCGGCCCGGGCTCCCCCGGCACAGATCCCGCCACCTGCTCTGGGAGCCTGTGCGGATGGACACGTGCCGTGTGCACCCCGTGCTGCACTTCTGTGCACACGCACAGGGCATCTCATCTGCTGTGCACTTCCATGTGCAAACGCACAACTTGGTGCCACGCCGCGCTCCTGCATGCGACGGTGACGGGACCTTCTAGACGCTCTCCTGTCGGGCTCATCTGCCAGCTCCTGATCCTGGCTACTCCGTACACGTCTTCTGTTGGCATGAAGTCAATCCTAGGGGTCGGCCCACCCACCTCCGGCACTTCCCTCATCAGCACTCCGGCCTCGAGCAGATTTTATTCGCGGGTGACAACAAGCACTTGCGGCCTTTCTCATTCTACACACAGGAGCTGTAGCCCACATCGTGGACCAGGCCGTTGGCCCCCCATGCCTTCTCTCCAGACACAGGAATGCCAGAACTTGATTCCCACCAGTAGGAGGCGTCCACACGGGTCAGGGCAGCCCCCCTGGCTGGGTGGTGGACCTGAGGGGCACTCTGTGCCCACGGCACACTGATGTCCGTGCTGTGGCAGGGGCTCTGGGGCCTCTGAGCCTCAGGTCACAGTGGTGAGCCTGGGAATCCGGGCAACCTCTTAACTTCCTCTCCCGCCAGGCCTTCCAATCATTTTCTAAGAACCTAACCTACTTCCCTGGATAAATGCCTTTCTACTTAAAGTGCTGTGTATTTTCTACCTCCTGTACTGAACCCTAACTCAAATATCAATGACAAATACGATCTTAGGAGATGACTAAGAAGCTTATTTATCATAGAAATAAAGTAATTATAAGCAGCCCCTCCTGCACCTTTTGGAACCGGACATTTCCCTAAGCAAACAGTCCCCAGCTGCTGGCCCACCGCGCGGCCGACGGGCGGCACTCACCGCAGGGACGAAGGGCTCGTCGGGCGCGCAGTGGTAGTTCTGTAACAGGGCCTGCAGCTGCAGGGAGTTCAGCTTGAAGCACGTGCTGTTGACGGTCGGAATGTCCTCCGCTGAGTACTTGTCCATTGTGAGCAGAGTGGTTGCCTGGTGGAAAGGGTAACAGGAGACATGACTGGGAAGTATTTTATAGCTATTCCCCTTCATGTAACACTTAAAACTGTAATAACTTGCTAATTTAATTTTAAAACGCAGAATGTTTTTGAGGGAAACACACTTCTATTAACATTGAATTGAACTGAAAAAGCGCTGTCTAATAAAGGTTTTTAGATGGCTTAATTTCACTAAAATACATAATTTGTATTTTACTAAAATATAAAATGTAAATGAAATTCAATTATTCATAAATCATTTTAAAAAATTCTCTTAGAAACTGTGAACATGGGTCACCTGGGTGGCTCCGTAGGTTAGGCTGCTGCCCTCGGGCTCAGGTCATGACGCCAGGGTCCTCCGATCGAGTCCCACATCGGACTCCTTGCTCAGCGGGGACCCTGCTTCTCTCTCTCTGCCTCTGCCTGCCACTCTGCCTACTTGTGTGCGCTCTGACCAATAAATAAAGTCCCGTAACCATTTACATCACACCCACTCTGATCACCAGTTACTGGGGTCTGAATAAAGTTCCCTGTAATGGTTTTTTACAGCCCGCGGACGCAATCCAAGGAGGACAGTAGCCTCTTTCTACACTAAACTACTTTAAATGAGATTAAGAAATTGTGGGGAAAATGCAAAATTATAAACTATAATAAAAAAAAAATACCCGCCGTAGGTTCTGAGGCTGCAGATCATCTCTTTGACTGCAAAAGCCCCGTACCCAGGGCAGGCTCTGCAGGAACACCCTGAGTACTGGCTGAGCCGCTCACACACAGCCATCGCGAGCTCCCCCGTGCCCTTCTCCGTCTCCCGCCCTCGGCCTTTGGGACGTGACGACTGCTGAGTGCTAGGCCCCTCTCCTCCTGCGCGTGTCCCCTGCGGGTGTCCGCTATGCGCTGCTCACCTGGCTGAGTGTGCTGAAGAGCGCCGCGCTACCCAGCTTCACACTGGGATCTGTCCTTTCAGCTGGGAGCCTCACAAAATACTGTCTGGTAAGAAAGAACCCTTTAAGGGTATTTATTCTAGTGCTTACCACCTGCTGCGGGCTGAGTTGTGTCCCCTCAGATCCCAACCCCGTGCACCTCAGAACGCGACCTTACTTGGAGCAAGGGTCTTGACAGCAGTGAGAGGAGTGAGTGAGGGAACAGGTCTAACGAGACTTAAGTCCGTATGAAGAGTGGACACGTGGAGACACACATGCCCCCGGGGAGAGCACCTGTGAAAATGAAGGCAGAGAACCACCCTGCCCACACCCTGACCTTGGCCTCCTGGCCTGTGAGACAACGTCTGCTGCTGAAGTACGGGGCTGGCCGAAGACGGTCTCAGAGACCCAGGCAAGCCAGCACCCCACCGCTGCTCCAGTGCAGCACACGAACACCCCCCAGGGGGCTGCTGACTCGGCTGAATCCCGGGGCTGCCCCTTGACGGAACGAGACACTGAGAACGAGGCGCACGACCTATGGGCAGGTGAGAACCGCGCCAGCTCACCTGCACTATGCGGCTGAGGTGGCAATCCGCCGCCAGCTCCAAGCCCTGCTTCTCCGCCCAGGCTTCCACGTGTCCCAGCTGCTGGCGGATAATCGCCCCCCAGTAGTGGGAGCACAGCCCCGACTCGGGGTCGGTGACCAGCCGGTTGAAGAGCCACATGTTGATAAAGTGGAAGAGCTGCGAGAAGAGCTGGATGGTCAGGGCCGCGTTGACTCGGCAGCGCCGCAGCAGAGACATGGCTCCCGTGAGCGTGTGTAAGACGTCATCTGTCAGACACGCGGGACGGAAGCAAGAGTCTTGTGAAAACGCTGGACGCACAAAGCATCAGGAACGGTAAGAAGGGCGACTTGGTCACTTTTGAGATACCAGTCCCTTCAGACGGGAGGCGGGAGGGAGGTCTGAAACCACACACGGGGGTTAACCACGTGTCCTGAAGCTCACCCCAAGAGACCTTCTGAAAAAGCACGACACCCCAAAACCAGAGCTATTCTTAAAATAAAACAGACGGTGGCTGCGATTTACTAAATGGCAAATCCAACCGTTTATCTCACTTATTCTAAAAATACCTCCCTCTTATGATAGTAAATATTAAAAAGAAGTTAAACAGGAAGGAGGGAAGAAGAAAGCTGAGAGAGAGGAGGAGAGAGATGGCGGGAGGAAAGCATCCTAACCTATTTTTGGTCTTTGCAGGCTGTTCTCTTCAGGGTCATCCAGAAAGGCTGGCATGTAATTATTCAGTTCTGACTGAAGACAGTGAACTAGGTATCTGAAAATACGTAGGCAATTTTAATAACCCCAGCAGGACGCAGCGCTATTGTCAGACATGACATCACAAACAGAATAGTTCACACTGCTGAGAAACAGTTTCCATTTACAGTACAATAGCTTTAGTCTCAGGAGTCTCGAAACACAGCTCAACAAATTCAATTTCCTAAATCAACACATCTGGCACACAGCTACTCATGCTTCTCGCTATTCATCTTCAATCAGGGTAAATAAAAACTTAAAAAAAAAAAAATCTCTACAGAAGAGTGCAATCTCCAAAAAGGTGCTCCTTACTTAAACGCCATCTGAACCAAGTGTGCTAAAATGTCTTGGGCGTCCAGTGTGATTCGACTAAGATCTCGGTCCTGTTTAATGAAGTTGAGCAGCTCAGACGCGTTGGCCATCCAGAAGGCAAGTGCTCCTGCAATATTCTTCTGCTTCTGTAGACAGAACGGATTTCCATAAGCAACCCCAAGACAAACAAAAAGAACGAAAATACAAAGGAATGCTCTTGAAAAGCTGCTGAGATAGACCAGTACCTTCCCACTGTCACCAAGGTATTTACCACAGATACCAGATATTTGCAAAGGAATTTGGATGCGTTCACAGCAGCTAACTGCAACACCTCAGGATTCATGGACAGACACATGGATCCAGGTGGCCACCACGGACAGAATCAGGGCCGAAAACAGAGGTATCAGAGCCTACAACGCCCAATTGGAGATTGTGCATTATCTGGTAATCTGTGAAGGACACACGCGTCTATCCACGGTTACCCACAGCCACCCTGATACGCACAGTCACTGGCTCGGACGCCGAGCAACTCGCTATCAAGTACTGATCTATCGCATTGTCTCCCGACCACATGAGCAGGCCAGGCAACCTCAGATGAGATCCACAGAATAGGAACCAAGGGTAAACAAGAAAGAGGAGAAACAGAACTTCCGTCATTTCATATCCACACTGAAGTGCATTAAGCAGAAATTATGAAATGCTGATAAGGGTTGCACAGTCAAAAGGATTTAGTACTGCATGTTTCAGTTGCTGAATGAGTGTTATGAACCGTCCAGTCCGGCTGCTGGAGTGCCGTGTTTGACATGGAAGCAGCGCGAGAAACTCAGCTAAGCCGACAAAGCCAGGACCAGTTCCCAGCAGCACGTCCTACCTGATCAACCTGGTCTACTTCCTGGAGGAAAACAGACGAAGGGAAATCAGGCAGAATGAGAGAAAGAAACTTGTAAACAATCACGATAGTTTAAAAAATCAAAACACTAACATGAAGGTACGACACAAAGGTACGACATTTAGTTCTGTCATTCCCAAATTACATATTCACTCCTGGCTCAGAAACAGCTTGGAAAGTACGTGATGTAAAGGGTTAGTTCTACGTTTTTAACACGGCCCAGTGAGGGAGGGAATTCCCAGAATTTACATACAGAAATGTGACATTTAACACGGGAACACACTGATCTCTTTAAAAGATTTACAAATAAAGGACTTCTTAACGTCTTTCAATGATCTCGTGTGTCTGACTACTTCAAGGTATGTAAGATGAGTGTCTACCCTCTGGTTTAACAGGATGAAAGAGACAGAAAAGACCAACAGAAACAAAAAAAATAAAAGTTAAAAATTTTTAAATGTATAAAAAAAACATAACTATACTAAAACAGAGTAAATTGGTTTTTCAAAGTAGGTTTTTACAAATTAAAAAATTTATTCATTACTACGGTTCTTTCCTAATACTTTAAGACTCCTCCGATCACATAGTAACCCCTAAATGTGTTTTAATAGACCTGTTTTGATAATGATGATTTCATAGACTAGTTCCAATTCAATCAGAAAAAGTCCATCAATAGTAGTCTGATGAAAGGAATTTCACAATTTGAAACGGGCTTTGGAAATGCAAACACGAGGGAAGACAGACAATGGCTTTGAACTAAAAGAAAATCCGTGTTTCTTCATAAATTAGGAAGAGAGGGAACACAAAATGGGATCCAAATAAAATGACAATCCTTTTTGGATTTGTTTCTTCACTTGGGGAAAGAACTGTAAGCCCATTAGATTCACAGGTTCACCCCTCAAACATAAAAGAAACAGTTCTTGAAAAATTTGGCCTTTTGAAATAATTCAGAAGGAATCAACAGATTTGTTTGCTCAAACTGTCCTCACAGGAGGGAAACCACCAAACCATCTAATCAGGCTGATTCACAGTACGTAACTAGAGTTTTGTATTTTGTGACCAAATAACAGCTCTGATAAGTGGTTTGGGAAAACTTAAAAAAAAAATTAACTTCACATTGACTTTCAAGGACGTAGAATTAAATCTTCAAATTGTCTGTGAGTTTGGAAAACTGCTATGCCAATTTACAGATGAAGAGTACTTAACGAGAAACAAACCACTACAAAGAGAACACCCTTACTTCCTTAAGCTTCAGCCGTTCTGTGACGGACTGTGATCATGCCGTCATCGAGAAACGTCATGATGTACATCACACCGAAATGAGTGCCGCCAAAAATCCACAGAAATCCTACCAATGTCGCACTCTCGGTGGAAAAGAGCAAACACCCTCGGAACCTTGAGAAGACTCTAAGAGGGTGGCTGCCAGGCGCTGGCAGGGAGGTTATGAGGACAAACTGCTTCGTGGCATAGGGTTTTACTCTGGGTGATGGGAATGTTCTGGAACCACAAGTGTTGCTGCACAACACTGTGAACGTCCGAAATGCTACCGAATGAGTCACTTTAAAATGGTTAATTTTACATTAATGTGAAATTCACCTCAACAAATTATTTTTTCTAAAAAAAAAATCCCATCTCAACGTGTTCTCACAACTACCACCATCTTAAGGATCTTCACTGTGATCATGACATTCCCACAGAGATTAAGGAGAAAAACAGCTGAAAACCAGCTGACACTTCTTTGCCACTTTCAAAGCTATGCAAGCGTCCAAGCTCTCTGCAGAGCGGGTGCAGTCGGACTCGGGGGGCGGGCCCGGGACGAGAGGCTGCGCGGGGCGGCTGCGCGCCGCGGCTTACCTGGATCACCGCCTCCATCATGCTCACCATCTTGTGGACCGTGGCGGTCACTCTGTGAGCGCGCTCGCTGGGGCTGGCGTCGGGTCTGCACCGGCTGGACAATACATACCGACACGCCATGTATAACACATATGTAGGGGACAACTTAAAATGGACTGTAGAGCTATTAGTATAGTTTATGATGGCAGATAAAAATGAATCTTCAGCTGTAAAAAGATTTCAAAAAAGAAAAAAACAAACAAACAAACAAACAAAAAACAACAAAAAAAAAACCCATGAAAATCAGATGGAGGAAAATGGAACAAGAAATAATTCACTAACAATGGAATCTGAAATTACTCACAACTCTCCCTGAATTCGATGCTCGCAGGCAGTACCAGCTCGGGCCCAGGAGCGTCCTGAGTTCTGCAAGTAGAGAGCGGCCCTCTCTTAGATCGTGACAGCACCAGCAACCGCGCCTCCTTCGGCAACGGCTGCGGCCGTCTCCACACAGTGCTTATAGAACACACACGCCCAGCGCCTCGTGCGCACGTGGGAAGCGCTCAAACACTCAGATGCACGCACTGGGAGCGATCATACCCCTGTTCCTCCCAGAGGTCAGCTCCTTGACGTATCTGCTTCCATCGTGAGAAGTGATCTGACCACGAATCTCTATTATTCATGACGGTGTCGTGTGGAGGAGGGTGACCAGGCTGTCACACACCTGCTATGGCAATGGCTCAGGTCACAACGAAAAGCCACTGCTGGGAGACACGAGGAAAGCTAAACCACCGTGAGCCTGAAACTGAGTTCCTACACGAAGAACAAGTTCCTAAGAGCCGGACGCTGCCCTTGGCTTCTGATGAAGCTCAGAGAAGAGGACGCCCACAGACCCCTTCAGGCACCTCGTATTAGCGTTTCTTGATGCTCACGGGGGAGCCACCTTCAGAAAAAGACATCCGACTCACACTTTTTCAGACACCCCTCCTCATTTAGCCAGACACCACGAAACAAGGCACTGCCAAGAAACAGAACCCAAGAGCAGCCAGGATCTGGAACACTTGGAAGAATCTGCGCTGAATAACATTACGTATTTCCACGTATCCTGGATCAAAGTACTTCAAAGGTCAGGACGTCCGTATTTCCATAGAAGAGTTCTCCAAATAGTGGATGACCCTGCCCCCGCTGGTAGGACAGAAGGTTCACTGTTGTGTGAAATTCTTCTTTCAGCTATAAATACACACATCTGGAGGCATGTGTCCACTGGGGCACAGCGTACAACAGGGCTCTGTGTAGTGTACCGTGGTCAAACAACACCCGACAGCCACTAGTGAGCACAGAATTTCTAAACTGTAAAATCATTACAGACCCAATGTAGATCTCCTTACCTCCGATTTATACTGTTCTCGATGGATGGCTTCAGAGTAACTTAACTACTCTTTCATGCAGACACGTGATTAGAATTTCAGGCAATTTAAGCATTACGGGAGCTGGCCGGCTCCCAGCTGTATTTCACGTCGGACATTCGTCAGCTGCCCCACTTCACTAACAAATGGGCAAGTGATTAGGTTCCCAAAGATCAGTTTAAATCTTTACCACTTTAGTTCAGCTTTAACAGGTAATGGAAAAACTTTCCAAAACTCTTCCACCAAATAGATTAAGAACATTAAAACTGACAGCAAAAGCAAAGAAATGTGTTGTGCCTTCCCACAAACTTCACTGGGAAGTGAGGAGTGAGGCCACAATGACTTACACAGGGACGAAAGCAAGTCAGGGGCAGGGACTGAAAACGGAGGTCAGTGTCCAAACAGAGCGTCCCATCCGGGGGAGGGAGAGTCAGCTGCACTGCCGTCTCGCGAAGCTGTCAGTGAGCTGAATGCCAGTCACTTCTAAGAGCAACACTGAAGTCTCCCAACCCCGGACAAACAGTGACGAACCTGCCCGTTTCTGCGTTCGGAGTCACGGCTGTGACACTCACTCAATAACCTGGCTCCTGTGACAACTTCTTCAAGAAAGGAGCTGAGAGGGAGAAGCGCCCATGGCCACTGTCCCCAGCAGCTTTTTCCCTCCACCCTACCTCCCCCGGGCAACTGAAGCAGCATCAAGGAGAAACACAGCAAGTTACGTCGAACTGTTATAAACACCAGAAATAAAACAAGAGTCTTTCCATGGGATTATATGCTTCAAAGCTTCTTATCTGGTCTGTGATTACATGATACGCAGTTAACTTCCAAATTTACTATCCACACAATAAACTGGATGAACCTTACCAACTCCTGGTTTCATCAATTTAACAAATCCAGTAAAAATAAGGAATTTAAATTCTCACCAAAGAAAGTAAAATAATGCGTCAGTCATAACTTAAGGAACTCCATTATTCGAAAAGATATTTTTCCCTGACTAAAATCAGTATTTTAAAATATCTAACAACTTAGACTTTCATGAACGTACCAATTAAGTGAAGCACTGCTTCTTCTCACATTATATACATGAAAAGCAAAGAACGAAAATAGAAGAATCACCTGTTTCCATCGCTGCGGTAGTGTGGAAGTAGTACACAGCCATAGTCCCAACAAAACCCCTAGTAAAATCCTGCTCGCAGCCTAACAGCGGTCCCAGAACACGGCGAGCCGCCACCGGGCAGCTACTGGACACCGTGCTTCTCCAGCTACCTGTGCCGGACACACGCACTCACTGGTTTTGTTATAAGTGCTCTCTCCTCTCCCCCATTTGATTTATCCATCATTCAACTATTTCTGGGCTGAGAACGATGATGCGCTCCTCTCGATCGCCTCATAAACAGGGTCACTCTGTACGGTACTAGCTCACCGTCTGAAGTTCTTATTCTAGAACACACCATCAGAAACAAGTACAGACACAGAAAGTAGGCTTATCATTACACCTAAAAGAATTCACACAGCCAACAAAAATCTTGAATACTAACCAAAAGTGCAGGACAAAAACAAGGGAAACACCTGAGATTCCCGCTCAGTCTGCAACAGAGTCCCGCGTTAACTGAGCTGACAAACAGGCGGCGCACTGCGCCCTCTACTGGAAGACGGGAAATGAAAGCGCGACCGCCAGCAGTCCCCTGCCTCCCTTAGGGGACCCAGGGGGAGAAGAGCTAGCATGGCAGCAGGAGACAGACTCCCCCAGCCCAGTTCCGCTGCCGATAAAGAGGGGACGTGCACGGCACTCCCGAGCTCTTCGACTGCCGTCTGCGTGCTCAGGGCCCTGCCGGAGAAGCGCTGGAGCCACACCCGGAGCTCAGCGCCCGTTATTATTTCAACGTGTGAGGCACTGACATCACTTTGCAACTCTAAACAATGTTAAAAATCACGAGGAAGTAGAATTCTAATAAAGGTAGTATGTCCTTAAAATTCATAAGAAAAGGAAATCACAAAAGGTGGATGTTCTCTGTTCAAGAACACTAGGCAAGAGCCCCGGCAGGAGAAACCCATATTCACAGCTATGCTTTTCGACAGAATGTAAGACACAGTAATGCGGCACTTGACAAATCCTAAAAACTCCACTGAAGGCCTGCCTGGCTTCATATATTTAAATATGGAAGGATTCTGTATACGGATGGGGAAATGATCAGATTATCTTAATATAAAAATGATCAAACAGTAACATCCAGGAAAAGTCCCTTTTTCCACGTTTCACAGAATAGCCCATTGAAAACAGAAACCTCTTTAAGTGCTCTCCATTTCACCCGGACAGACGACACCGTGGCCCAGGGTAAGGGGACCCCTGCTCGTGGAGCTCAGTCTCTGTTCAGCTCAGAAACATGAAAACAAAGTAACTCCCTACAAATGTCAGCCAAACCTCCGTCGGTTCAGGCATCTCTCCCCCAGGCGCTTTCCGGGACACTTTCACGTCCTCCCTGCGGAAGCTGAGCGGCTTCCTACCTGCTCTCTTGCCGGCGGTCCTGCTGCTCCACTCTGATCATCGGCTTCACCATCCCACGCTCCGCCGAGCCGGAGGCAGGCACTGCCCGGTCGCCGTCCAGCCTCGTGGCGCTCTAGGCCGGGGGAGACACAGAGCACTTAAGAACACCACGCGGACCACCCGGGCGTACGCAGACCGCTGCCAGTGAAGGTCTGATGCCAGGCTGCCAGGCAGGGGAAGGCGGGAGAGGGATGCAGGGCAGGGGCAGAGACGAGAAGGCGCGGCGCCTCTGAGGACACCAGTGCGCATTCTCATGCCCCGAAACACACGGGCACTGAAAGAGCAGTAAAGCCCGCAGCCCCTTTCCTTTTCCGAGAGCTAGACGTGGGCTTGAAACACAGTCAGGAAGGGCGCTACGCGTGCGCAAGGGCTCCTCTAACAGTGCAGAACCGCAGCAACTCCTCCAAAACGTTCTCTTAAGGAAGGAGGGAGCGGAGAGAACACACACAACGTAAAGTCAGGGTCTTTGTTTTACTTGTTAAGAAAGTGTTTGAAAATCATCATAGCTCAACGTCCAAAGACAAACTGAGCACAGAAGCAAAAGCCCATCTCCAGCAGCCTAGAGCCGTACATTTAAACTCCTCCACGCAGGGCACATTGCTAACTAACCCATGGCAGACAAAACAGATAAGCAACCTATATGAGTAAGAAAACAGAGCAAAATTACACAAAAAAATTCACTGTAGCAAAAATTTTGTGTCAAATTTCTCATATTTGATTATAGAAACTGAGCTTGATAACAAAAATCATTCTTGTCTTACCAACCAGAGAGTTACACTGGGCTGTATTTATCTTTACGGTTCTTTACGATTTTTATTTTTCATAAATGAGGTCATAACCTACTTTGTAAACGTTGTAAACATCTAACAATATTTCTATGTTACAGAACTATAATGGTTGTGTAACATTTTGTTGTTTATCTACCAAAGTTCATGGAACTAATCCTTGATTACATTGTTTAAAATGTTCACCAGGACAGGGAGTCCCGACAACCAGGCTTGTAAATATACACATTCACACACAGTGGCTACTTCCATAAAATACATTCACAGAAATAAGAACACCAGGTCAGATTACCGTTGTAAATAAGTGAAAAGGCAATAGAGAAGTTAGGGTATGTTTATAAGCTAACACATTACAAAATAAATTTAGCCCATTTTCAAATAAAAAGCTTACGAAATCAGAGCCAAAGGCCACAGGACAGAAAGGTTTGTGTGTGCGCGTGGATACCTGATCCTTTGCAAGTGTATAAAGGAGCACACCGGTGACACAAAGAGCTCAGAAAAGGATCTGTCAAAGTGTTACCAATAGCCACCTATAAATTGTGAATGATTTTCATTTCTCTACTTTTTCTTAACTGACCAAGTTTTCTGTTTTGACTATACACTTTTAAAAGAAACTAAACTTTTCTTTAAAAGATCTGATTTCAAGAGAGAGCATGAGAGCAAGAGAGGGCGTGCTCAGGCACACGTGGAGGGGAGGGGCAGGGGGAGAGAGGATCGTCACGCCCACACCCTGTGGAGCGCAGAGCCCTGAGGGGAAATCAGACTCCCATGCCCAATCGACTGAGCCACCCAGGCGCCCCTTAAAAACAGCTTTGTCTGAGGACAGTCCCATCTGGTTCCCAGAGCACCTGCTCAGACGGCCGCTGTGCAGCTCTGCGCTGCGGGCCCCGGTGCCCGGCACACTCCCGGAGCACGAGCAGCACAGCGGCGAGCCCGCCCAGCGAGACCCTGCCTGCGCCCAGCTCGCGCTGCACCGTGGCCGCCCGCGCCAAGGATCCGACGGCCGCGCAGGCTGGCGCAGACATTAAAGTAAGGGGCGACTGCGCCCGGACACTTGCGGATGTGACGTGTAAGTGGAGGTCGCACCAGGAGGGGCCGGCTGCGTGAGAAGCCGTGGGAAGAAATCCTGTAGGCCGAGCAACACGCCCGAGGCTTCAGACGGGGAAGAGGCCTGTGGCCAGTGTGGCCGGGTCAAAAGGAGCTGTGCGAGCCAGAGGCAAGAGTGGGGGTATGTGGGGCCGAGCGGCTGTGAACGCGGGGCGGTCACAGGGTTGAGTTCCCGTTTCCACAACAGCAGCCTGGTCCTCGGAGAAGACTGACTGGCCAGGGCAGCAGAGGAGAGGTCAGAAGCCACGCAGACTCCCTGCCGTGTGACACCTGGAGCCTCCGCCCGACTGCCCACGGGGGTGACAGACAGAGACAGGCACTTGTGGACTGTTCCAGAGGAAGAGCAAACGGAACTTGCCAAGGACTGAATGTGGAGGCTGAGGGAGGGAAGGAACCCGGGATAACCAGTGCCGGACTTCTGTGGGGACGACGCCTTGGGTGAGCAGATCGTTTACTGAGACGGCGAAGGAGCAGGGAAACAAAGAAAAGCTAGCTCTGTTTTCGCTGTGTTAGACTTGATACACGTGTTAGACAACACGACAGCTGTTGCAGGCAAGCCTTTGGAGTCTGCACAGGTCAGGGCCAAAGACAGTTCAGAGTAATTAATGTCTAGATGTACTTTAACTCCCTGACTGCGTGAGATCACCCAGTGAACATGGACACATGGGAGAGAAGGGGCCCTATGTCTGCAACCGGCGTGAGGAGTCAAGTGGAGGAAGACGTGGAGAAGACACCAACAGAGGAGACCCAGGAGGACTGAGCACCGAGGTGGGAGAAATCGGGACGGCGACACCCCAAGGCTGAAATAACGAAGTGCCCCAAGTACGTGGTGCCGACCTGGCTCAGGCCAACGGAGGGAAACACGCAGCGGACCGGGCACCGTGAACATGGCCTCGGCCAGCCGCACCGGGAGCAGCCCCTTTCCCGAGCCATCACTAAGCCTGTGTTTGGCTTTAACCAATGGAAGGTCAGGGAAGCAAAGCTGGGCCCCAGCTCTGGCCCAAACCTAAGAAGGCCTGCCACTTCGGGATGCTGTGAAGCACCAAAACATCTGGCTGCTCCCGCGGAGAGCACCTGAAAAGACAGGGACACAGGGAGGCCCAGCCAGCCCAGCAGCCAGCCCACGAGCAGCTGACCGCAGCAAAGCGAGGCACCGCCAGCAGGACCAGCAAACAACCAGCCCCTGAGAGTCCAAACCTCACCGCACAACTGCTGTAAAGACAGCGGGGGCTGTTCTGTTTGGTTCACTACGTTTTGGGGTGGTCTGTTACTGAGCGATAGTGAACCAAAATGAGGACAAATTCCCTGATCATGCGAGATGAGGGGAACTGTGGAAGCAAAGTGCCTGCAGAGAAGAGGCGGCAGGCGGATGAGAGCATGGCGGTCGTTATCTTCAGAGATCGCCGGGCAGAGAAGGGCTGCTGGGACAGAGGCTGAGCCTAGGATGCCTGCTGAGAGGAGAAAGCATGGTGTGCGGCCTCAGGCCTGCCACGTGTCACAACAAGACAGCACGACAGATTAGCACCAGCCTGCTAGAGAGCACTGTGTGGTCTTCTCTGTCTTCACAATCGTCCTACCAGCGTATTACCAGTAACTCATCCCTGGTGTCCTACAATGCTACACAAACACAGTCCCAGCAGGTCGTGGAAGTCGCCTACCTGGCTTGTTGGTAACGCTGTTCCGCTGTGAACATCTCCGCCTAAATCGAAAGTTGTCTCTTGAACAATTCTTTCAGGATTAAAAAAAAAAAAGAAATACGTAGAATTAGTAACCCTCAAATGATAAGACCACCTTTTTCTCAGTAATACAAAAGAAACGGCTAAATATCCCAATTTAAAGAGCTTCAACAAATCAATCGATTTTCAGCATATAAAAGTTAGAGACAAAAAAAGCTGTTAAAATTTTTTGAACTTTTCCGGGTACCTCGGTGGTTTAGCTGGTTAAGCGTTTGCCTTTGGCTGAGGTCATGATTCCGGGCGACCAAGCCCCACATCAGGCTCCCTGCTCAGTGGAGAGCCTGCTTCCCACTGTGACACACTCTCTCTCTCCCTCAAATAAATAAAATCTTTAAAAAACAAAAAACTTTACGAACTTTTCTTACTGCTACACACTGGATACTCTCAGGATCTTTTTTTTTTTTTAAATTTTATTTATTTATTTGACAGATAGAAATCACAAGTAGGCAGAGAGGCAGGCAGAGAGAGGAGGAAGCAGACTCCCCGCAGAGCAGAGAGCCTGATGCGGGGCTCGATCCCAGGACCCTGAGATCATGACCTGAGCTGAAGGCAGAGGCTTTAACCCGCTGAGCCACCCAGGCGCCCCAGGATCTTATTTTTTAAGACTATATTTTAATAACAATAAATTGGAAAGAACCACAAAGGAAAAAAGCAAGCTGTTTCATCACGTCACAGCACATAAATGAATGCAGAGGTCTCCAGCGCCACGAGCCCATGTGCTGACACAGGGGGACAACTGTGTTCACGGGAGGATAAGGCAAGGTAGGAAGCTGCCATCCTCCAGAAATCAATCTGATAACTTTTTAAAAGCTCATGGATACCAGTACTGAGGCTAAAATAAAGAAATGGAGAACTTCTGTGTAATGTTAGTAATCAGATCAAGAGTTATTCTATTTTAAACAATTTTAAAAAATATCTAAAAATACCAAATTTTTAAAACCATCATTATGAAAAGTTCAGAGCAAACAAAATCTCATTTTAAAGAGTCAATAATCCGAGGCAGGCTATGGTTCTTTGGCACAAATAAGGATAAATACAATCCATTAATTCCAGCCCAAGAGAAAGGCCCCAGAAAAGGGGGAAAAAAGAGCCCTAAGAACACCTGGAAACCAACAGGATGGGTTAGTGCTTCAATCTCCTGGGCTCCTGTCCCAGGTAATCAAAAAGAATCACAATCTCTTCTGCTACCTGAGAGACAACCATGTAGTGTCATAGCTCCATGGTAGCTTTAAACTTGTATTTAACCCCAATCTACAAAATGAAACCCCAAGTGATGCAGAAGTTCAAAACAATTCTTCAAATTAGAAAACCAGGTACAACTTCCTCCTCTTCCTTATCACTATGAAAATAAGATCATCTTGTAACACCAAACAATGATCACACTTCAAAATAGAAACTGGAGAAGTAAAAGCTTGTACTCGAAGCTAAACCCTCTGTCACCAAGATATTCACAGAACATAGAAACTGTTTTCCTAGTTTCTAATGGTTTGACTGGGAAACTCAAGTTATTTTGCCTCTGATAATGAAAGCGGGGTATGAGAGTTCATCTCCACCATCTATCAAAGGCTACATATACACCACACCTATCCCTAAATGCATGCTATCCGCATACAGAAACACAGGCCAAGCCTTCTTGACCCACTTGTAATTCTCATCCTAACAAAACAAACTTACTCAACACCATGCAAAGCTCTTTATTTCTTCACCCAAAGCTAATAGGACTTTAAAGTTTCACATGGACCCATTTGTACTACACTTTGGATTCGTAAATGATTACAAAGAGACTTTATTCATGACTTTAATGACATTATCTAAGTATGACCACAGAGGGTAGGAACCATGTCTCAGCCTCCTCAGCCCAGAGCACACGGATACACTGACACGTGACACAGGTACTCCACGAATGCGCACACAGAGAGGTTAATGAGTGCACTGAACGCACCAACAGAGGGCCCAGCCTGACCGTGAACATCCAATTGTGCTACCTTGCTAGTCCACCTTCCAATAAGGCTTTGAGGACACAGACCCTAAAGTCTGCAATTAAGAACACATGCATCATGTATCCCTCAAGGAACTAGAAACAAAGAACAAAGCCCAAAATTACTAGAGGGAAGGAAATAAAATCAGAAATTAAAAGAGAAGACTTTATAACTGGTACCCAGAAACAACGTTAACAGTCCATTAGAAACAACTATACGCCAACAAACCGGACAACCTAGGAAAAACGGATGAAGCCCTAGAAACACACAAACTACCAAGACTGAATCGTGATGAGATAGAGAATCTGAACAGATGGGAGTACTAGCGAGGAGATCGAATCGTTCATCGAAAACCACCCAACAAACCAAAGTCCAGGACCAGACGGCTTTACTGGAGGATTCCACCAAATGCTCAAAGAATGAACACCAATCCTGCTCAAACTCTCCAAGAATGACAAGAGGAGGGACCTCTTTCAAACTAATTTTACGAGACCAGCATTACCCTGATACCAAAACCAGACAAGGGCACAAGAAAAGAGAATTACAGGCCAGTAGCACTGATGAACAGAATTGCAAAAATCTTCAACAAAATACTAGCAAGCTGAGTTCAACATGACATGAAAGGGATCACACGCCAAGATCAAGGAGGATTTATTCCAGGGATGCAAACAAGGATGGTTCAACATCCACACATCGGTCAGTGAGTTCCACCATATTACCAAAATAAAGGATAAAGACCACACGAGCAACTCAACAGATGCAGAAAAAGCATTTGACAAAATTTGATATCCATTTACACTGAGAACTCTCAACAAAGTGGGTATAGAGGGAATGTACCTCCACACAGTAAAGGCCATACATGACATGGCCACAGACTCATCATCCTCAGTGATCAAGAGCTGAGGGCTTTTCCTCTAAGATGAGGAGCAAGACAAGGATGCCCACTCTCGCCACATCATCACTCTGTTCATTCAACACAGTATCAGAAGTCTTAGCGGGGGGCGCCTGGGGGGGCTCAGTGGCTTAGAGCCTCTGCCTTCGGCTCAGGTCATCATCTCCGAGTCCTGGGATCGAGCCCCGCATCGGGCTCTCTGCTCCGCGGGGAGCCTGCTTCCCCCTCTCTCTGCCTGCCTCTCTGCCTACTTGTGATCTCTCTCTCTCTCTGTCAAATAAATTTTTAAAAAATCTTAAAAAAAAAAAAAAAAGAAAAAAAGTCCTAGTAAGTTGCTAAGAGAGCTAATGTTGCAAGTTCTCATCACAAGAAAGTAGTACCCATGGCTGGTGGGTGATGATGGCAACTGGACTCGCTGTGGTGACCACTGAGCAACACACACACATGCTGGTCATTACGCTTTGCACCTGAACCTGACACGTCATTATACATCAATAACAAAACACAGGTACACGCCTGTGGGAAAAAACCCATGGGCTGTCTACCTAGACATTTGTACAATAGCTTGACAGTGGGACAAAATTAGTGTTTATAAAAAAAATGGAAGTTCGTTCTGGTTTATGGATGGACATGTAAGTACTGGCATATTCTGCCACTAAGCAGTTTCCACCAGGTCTGTGAGGAAAAAACATAAGAATACACAAGAAGTTTCACATTGTATTTCCATCAAAAAAACCAAAGCCATGTTCTTAGTATGATTCTGCTTTTGGCCAGACACAAGATGAGAACAGACACCGGCGGGCCTCCAAAGCAGGAGCCACAACGGCAAAACAGCTGGGGAGGGACCTCGCATGCAGAAAACCAGACAACCCTGCTGAGCAGAACTCCCGAGCTGCAGTGATGGACAGATGCAGTTGCGTCACTTCAGCAGCAGCCCTACCCCCAAAGTGAGGATCATCCGGCACTCAGGCATGACGCACGACTGGGAAAACCACAGGACTCCTGAGAAATCACGTGCAAGCGGCCAGAAGTCATGCCACACGATGACTTCTTTGGCTAAACACCCTACAGGTAAGTGGCAAGTAAGATTCTCAGGCGTACCCCGGCCTGTCACCACCTGGTGCTAAAAGACGCAGGCCTGAAGCATGGAAGGTCAGAATGGAAACCACCTGAACAGGACTGTCGGGTGAAGCAAAGGGGCCACGCAGAGGTCACGATGAGGGCCAAGAAATGCGGACATGGCTCATAAGTAAATACAATTTAAAAAGGAAGAGAAAACGACAGGTCCTCCCAGACACGAAACGGAAGGATGAGTTTAGAGACACATTCTGTTCAAAGCTGGAGGACTAGTCAGACAGAAATGGGCTTCCTTGGGAAGTCAAGGCCCACACCCGTTTTCCTTGGGAACCGAGGGACTGGTCCTTGGTGGAAATGCGGAGCCAGAGGTGAGCAGCTGGGAACAGGAGGTCTCAAGCAGCCGATGACATTTCCCATGTCCCGTGTGCCTAGGGGAACATGTGTGATGATCAACAAAGTGTTATCTTGGAGCAAGACCTTAAGTCTTACTTGTACGAGCCGCCTTTCATCCTTCTTCTGGGCAGGATGAGAGATGGTCACAGAACAAACTAATGACCCCCGGGAACGACTGCAGTAGAGTTCACAGCGCTGGGAAACTGGCGAAAGACCACCAGCACGAAGAGACTACAAATTCCCACCTGCCCCAGAGCACGAGCTCTGGGAGGTTGAGCAAAGGTCCGTCACAGACAGAGAGCGGTGCAGGCAGCTGCGGGGAGACTGCGCGCACACGGTGCGGCCGGGGCACAGCGCCGCGCCCATCAGCAAAGACCGCGGCTGTATTCAGCATCGTGCGTGGGGCCCGCGCCCTGGCAGCCTGCAGGACGGGCAAGGGGGCCAAACTGCGCATTCTTTTAAAAAATTACCACTACCAAAACGAAGTTTCACTCCCTTCCCCAGCACGAAGTTTGATTAGATGGCCAGCGAGGACTGTGGTTTTCGGTGACGGCCACAGTGCAAGTCCTCGGACAGGCACCAGGGGGAGCTAAGATACTCTTCCTCCTGTGAAGACTTCACACGGTATGTCCTTATCACAATCAGAAAAAGACACCTCCACAAAAATTGGTGATATGGGGATGATTACATAAAATACCACAGTGCTTCCTAAAAGAATAAACTACTGGTTAAAAAAACAAAATTTAAAACTATTAAGAACCAGCCACAACTTCCAATTTTACAATAAAGTCAGGATCCCTTTCTTCTTTCCTCGGCAAGCAACCCAGATCAACAAGAACCAGCCACACTTTGATTTTAAAACTGGAACAACCTGTAATGTGTGCCTGATTCCGATTCTCTGACACATAAACCAAGCACTCTAAACTCTGAGAGATGATGGAGAGCAGTTACCCAGGCTTTTGTCTGGGAGCCTTGGCCGTCAGGGCCCCATCCGCAGATCTCTTTGCCAGAGCGTGGTCCTGGCTGGGGTCCACAAACTTGAACACATGTGAGGCCCCAAACTGCACTTTCATCCCACTCTGCAGCATGGTCGTCTCTGAGATGCGCTGTCCTTCCACGTAAGTCTCAGCGTCCATGCTTCTTGGCGTGACAGTGACCACTCCATCCATGTTTGTGAGGTCACAGTGATGGGGCTGAATTCCTGATCCAAAGAGCTAAAATAAAATCAAAGGACCATTCATCATAAAGGACATGGTATTTAAAAAACAGAATTTCTGGGGTGCCTGGGTGGCTCAGTTGGTTAAGCGGCTGACTCGATCTCAGCTCAGGGCTTGATCTCAAGGTTATGAGTTCCAGCCCCATAAAAACCAAAACCAAAACCCCAGCATTTTAAAGCCATGAGTTCCTCTTTTATGAATACAAAGTAAACTAGATTTCTGGTGCTTTTTGAGCGTATTCCTCCCCAAAGTACAAAAGTAAGTAAACACTGTCAAAATAATGTCAAAGTAACGGAACACATTATGTTTAGCACGGAGCAGCTTGCTTCGACACACACCGTAAATCTGAACTGACAAGTGCGTGCTCATCTTAAACATACGCTAGCTAAGTAAGAATGAATCTGTGCAGGGCATTAGGATTACAAACTTTATTTACCTGTTTTACTGCTGGGCTGAAGGAAGGGACGTGAGAACTGCAAAGGACACTAACTAACCTGACCCGCCATCTGCGACTGGGAAACTGACCGCACGGGGGAAGGGCAGGCTGCCGCGGCTCAGCTGAGTTCAGTCGGGTAGGGAACACTGGCCTCCATTTAAAGAACACACTACGCAGTTTCACTAAGTCCCTGAAAACCCCACCTAGCTAACATCGCACCTACAGTTCAGGCAACACCCATGGCTACGGGCATCAGACCGAGGGGCAGGCTATCTCCCCTAATCCTGAAAAAGACCCATGAAGTCATCACCACCACGACCAGATCAAGTTTCCAGAGGTGGAGAGTGAACATAATTTCAGTCGCTCTGTTCACGCTGAAGCAAAGGAAGTGAGCCAGAGTGCGCCGTTCCTTCTATTAGAACACGAAGTCTTTCCAGTCTGTCCGTCCATGCACTGCTACCATGTGGCAGGCCTTAACCGTGGGCCCCCTCCCCCTTCCCACCCAAATGGAAGAGCTGCCCCAGGCGCTCGAGCCGCGCCCATGCACCTGGATGGAGTCCTCGTCGAACTTTTCCGTCCCAACCTCGGTGACGCTCAGCTGAAGGCGGTAAAGCTTGGGTTTATCTCTGGAGTCCGAGCCATCTGCGGAGAGAAGAAAAAGCTTCATTTGTCAAGTCTGATGTTCTTGTCATGGTATTTGAAGCAAGCCAACAAAGCAAGTGAACGAAAGGTCATCTTAAAAACGACTAATGGTTCTCAGTTCTCAGGGTTTCATTTCGAAGAACTCTCCAAATTTGAATCATGCAACATACCTAACTGGATACAGAAAATTTAAATTAAGACATCGACACATTAGCTTCTGTTTAATCTCATTTAAGTTGCTAACATCATCATCTATAAGCAACATTTTCTTATCACATAAAAGAAATTTCTGCACCACGCAGCCCTGGATTTTTGTGAATGATTCTGAAGCGCAATTCTATGAGGCAGACACATGGCCCTTCCCCTCAGAGTAGGCTGCTCTCCCAGCAAACGTCCACCTGTAGAGCCCAGAGCGCCGTAGGGACTGATGGACATTTTCAGTGTACAGCCTCACAGGTCACCCAGTTCTCTGGACCCCAGTCTCCGGGGATGAGGCCTGCACACATACCCACTGAAGATTCCCCCAAGTGATCCCAACGCCCATTCCTGACAGTAAGTTCCAGTAAGAACTACAGTGAAAGTGCTTAGCTTTGCAGAGTGGAATGTGTGTGGGGTGGGGGGTAGACAGAAAGGGACACTGGGTTTTTTGGGTTTTGTCATTTTATACCTCTGTAAACTACTGACATTTCCACTGCCCTGTGCATGAATCTCTATGACGGGGATGGCGTGGAGAGAAGGAAGAAGAACCAGTGCCAAGACATCCACTCCTTATACCCAAATGCTCCTTCCCTTCTCACCTACTATGTTCAACCTCATACAAGAGGTCAAAGATTTATTCTGATTTCGGAGATGTTAACATACAAGGAAACATGCCTCACGGAACTAATGAATCATGACACCATCTCCCAGCTGTGAAAGCCAACCCAGCGTGGGTATGCAAAGTCCTAAAAGGGCCCCGTAGAGTCTCTCTGACCTACTTTAATGCCTTAATAACTTGCTGATTCACTTATTAAGTTGCCAGTTGCACTCTCTGGTCCCTGGGACTAGGAATTAAGCTGTGAGGGCTGCAGAAGGTAAGCACCCGGAGTGTACGAGGGTTCAGACCGTGACAGTCTCTTAGCTGTGCTGTGGTCTGAGCTCTCAGACAAAACACACGGTGAATACAAAAATCTGTTACAACTGCTGCTAATTTAGAGCACACAAAATAACATTACAATCACAACATTTCTCGCTTCTGATATATTTCCGAAACCTGTCACATCTGTGTGACGGGGAGCCGTCCGTGAGAGCCAGGAGAAAGCGGACACCACCTATGCTTCACAGCTCCGACAGCCCCACTGCGTGCGCCGGCAAAGGAAGCCTTATCTCTAGACAGTTCTATTTTCAACTCCAACTCCACGTCCTGAACCCGAGTGAGGCATCGGTGCCACCTGGGCCTTTCCCCGAGGTGAGCGGTGCCCTCCAGGGCTGCTGAGTCCGAGCCCCCGGGCAGGGCCCACTACTTTGCAGCTCTGACAGCACAGGCGGGCCCAGGAACTACCGCCCGCCGGGAAGTGTTCTTCCATCCTCCTCAGCGCCATGGCTACCGTGTCTTCCTACCGCTGACCCTAGTCCACGGTTACTCTGTTTCCTTGCCCCCCGCCCCCACCCCATCCTTGACGGCTAGATTTAAAAGAAAATCTCTTGATCCTGGCGCTCAGTACAGCTTCTGGTCCACAGTATATATTCAACAAAGATTTAATTTATTAACAATGAATGATTAGTAGCTAAAAATGAATAAAATAAAGCAATGTGGTTGCACAGAAATTACATAAATTACAAAAAAGCAAAAGAAGCAAATAAATGATGAAGAACGATGATTTCAAAACAAAGTTAAAAATACAAGAGTATGAAAAATACGTGTTTAGGGGTGAAAGAAAAAATTCACATTAATATTCTTAATTCTGAGTGCTTCTGAAAGGTATCTTGTGACTAATAAATGGATAGCATGTATTTTCTACGTTAACAGATTTGCAAGTGTCAAGAAAAAGGGGGGGAAAACAGATTTCCCCTCCAATGCTTCCATTTTCACCACAGCACTACACCGGAAACCTCCCCACCCATGGGGAGAGGCAAGCTGCTTTCCCAGTCCCACTTTTCTTAGACGCCGCAGCAACAGAAAACACAGGTAAAGCCTTTACGGACAGATTCTGGCCATGGGATTTTACTAGACACAATGCTGTTCGAGTCGGGGAGATGAAGGCAGGTAACAAACAACTAACATCTTTCTTTTTGGACAATCTCACTCCCTTCTCCTTTGTAAGAGTACGAGGACCATCTCATGGGCATTAGTGAACACAGAATAGTGTGGCCTAAAACATACCTTGTGTTCTCTTCCCTTCCTCAACTGAACAAGAGCCCCTAGCACCTTTCGTCCCTACTGATGACGAACCGAAGCAGCCCTCCCACAGACAACAGCGCTTCTACCAGAGGGTTTTCAGGCTTTTTCTTTGCGTCACAATGTCGAATTAAAAATACATGAAATATTCATGTGGTTTGAAATTTAAAAGGCACAGAAGTATACAGTGAAAGGCACCCTTCCTTTCCTGCCTTAACTCCCCACCCTGAAGCACATCTTTAAAATCTGTTTTATGCATATACCATTAAGCAACTCAATACACGCATTTTTCTTCCCTCTTTTTTTTTTTTTTTGCACCGGGATTAGAACACCAGTGAAATACGTATCATATAGTCAATGGGCAATCGGTGGGACCCACTGACACAAACACCAGTTTTCTATCTAAAGCTGCTCGTGTCTCTGAACGCCCTGAATATTACTGACCATTCGGGTGTCCCTAAGTAACTACTCACATTGGCCGAATCTTGTTTTTCTGCTTTTGCTCTTTTTTTTTTAAATTTGAGGTATAATCGGAAATTTTCTTTAGTATTCTTTTTTTTTTTTTTTTAAAGATTTTATTTATTTATTTGAGAGAGAGACAGTGAGAGAGAGCATGAGCGAGGAGAAGGTCAGAGGGAGAAGCAGACTCCCCATGGAGCTGGGAGTCCGATGCGGGACTCGATCCCGGGACTCCGGGATCATGACCTGAGCCGAAGGCAGTCGTCTAACCAACTGAGCCACCCAGGCGTCCCTTTCTTTAGTATTCTAAATATTAACAGGAAATGGACCATTATGGACACAGCATAAGGACATTTTTTAAAGAGCACCTTTGTTCTGACAACAGTTCTCTGCCTCCAGCTCTGCTCAGGCCTTTGCCGGTTCCCCAGGGACCACCGGGCGCCATCAGTGCGTGGCGCTGGGTGCGGTTCCGGCCGCGCCGCTGAGGGGAGGGCAAGGGACTCGTCCACTGAAGGAGCGCTGATCGAGGGTTCCGAATCCCAAGCATGAGAAGAAGCTGAACACACATTCACATCCCCGCAGAGCTCACATTTTAGTGAATGAACGGTTAAACCAACGATCAAGTTCCTGAGGCTTCCTGAAGCACACGGCCGAGAGCGTCTTCTCACTGAGGCCACTGAGAAAACACACCCACTCCGCTCAGACACAAATGGAGAACTAGAAGCACTTTGGTCAAAGTTCTGATGAGTTTATTCTAAGCATTTTTTATACACACCACGTAAAAAAGGAAATGCCATTTTCTCTCTGGTTTCCCTTCCTTTATAGTACAAATAACAAAAACAGGAGAACGTTAAACAGTCCTTTTCAGGAATTAAATGAAATAAAAAGAGGTCTTAGACTCTATGCATATAGGAGTATTAAAATAAGTGATAAATATCACGTATTTATATATTTGTTTAAAAAGAACAAAACCCAAAACTGCAAGTCCGGTTACTATCCAACGGCCGTGTGCACTGTCAGTCTGGAGACAGTCCAACGAACAAATACAAGCTGCTACATGGGGGGAAACGTTACACAGCACGGGGAGCATCTGCCACATTCAACATGTAAGAATGTAACACTTAAAAGACAAAAACAGACAAAAAAGTATTTCCATAAAACCAAAAATTAGCTGTACTACGGAATATGATGAAGACAGAGATACACAAATCTGAAAAACGTGTTCTACGTAAGAAAGTACATGTTTGCTAACAAGAAGAAACGAATTTCAACCAGGAAACAAGGAGAAGCCCAAGGACCCCCTAAAACCTGGTCATAACGTGACACGCTAGTTCCCTACAGGAAGATGTAAGTATGAGTAAAGGCCAAGCATATGGCTGAGTCTTCCTCTCAGCTTCCCAAAGGCTGTTAGACACACGCAACTGGTGGGGACACCTCTTCCCCATCAGCACTACAGCCCGGTGTGTGACCGCAGAGCCCCTCCCGCACACCTCTGGGTCCTGGGGTCATTCTTACCCATCATCCTCACTCTTTTCCCGCCAACCCCATCCTCCCCCAGCTTCTCCCCTCTTCTTAACCTTTTTTGGGGGGGAGGAGGGGAAGGACAGGAACACAGCCTGTCCAATTTCTCACTCTAGACTTCGCCTGAATAGAGGAACTGCACATTTCTGTAAAACCAAGCGAATGCGGCGCGTGGAACTAGACACCACCAAAGTGACGGCACGTTACATTTCTCAGAACAAAGTTATTTGTATCAATTAAGAAACCAATACATAAAATGTTTGGCCAGTAACATTATCTTGCCCAACAGGTTGTTAGTGCTCTAGTTAAAAAAGTAGTATGAAGCATAGCATTACCTTCGTAAGTGTGATAGTTGTAGCAGGCAAAGTGATTCCTTCTCCCTGGGATTAGAAACACATGCACGGGACCCAGGTGAAGGCAGCATCGGCAGGACAGAGGCCATGCAGAACACGTGGGAGAGGGAAGGAGGAGAGAGACAGGAGAGGGTGAGCTGCAGTGGGACACCTTTCAAAGGATGAAAAAGCACGTTTCACCACAGCTTTCGGAGCTGTGGGGACAAGACAACAGCACTCCAGGAGGGTGTGTGTTAGAAACCAGTGCACACTGTTAAGGAAAACACCAAGACAAAAGGTGAGGCACTGGGCAGCCGGAGAGCAAAGTTAGTTCATCATCTAGAAGACGACCACCCCACTCGGCTAATGCCTTCTGTTAAAAGAACACATTCAATTCCAAACCGAAGAATTAAATGACTGTTGATCCCCATTTCTCCAAAAGACACACCCACATGTCAAAAACCTCCTGCCTACCGCTCCTGCACCTTGGCCCGGCCCTGAGTGCTTGCTTGGCTGGTGGTACGTCCTGCGGAAGGACAGCACGTATCTGTCCGGGACAGATCAACATCTGCTTGCGAGGGGACGAGGCACCCGTGTCATCCAGCAGGCTGGCTGTGCTCAACTGATACCGATGGAAACGGGCAAACACAGCACGGCCGCGTGAGCACAACGCGCCCGCTCTGACCAAGACCGCGCCCAGCCTCCAGGCCCGCCACTAAGTGCTCCCCGGCAGCCAGTGGGCGCCGAGGTGCAGGACAGGCCCCTGTGGAAGGACCGGCAGGGCCGTGGGCAGAGGCCCCAAGCCCTCGGAAGGCAGCCAGGCTGCGGGCGTCCCTGCGGGATCTTGCTATGGGGGCGTGAAGGCCGGCGCTCCCTGCTCGCCCTGAAGCAGCCGCGTGGTGAAGGCTCAGTAAAGCAGCAGAGCGCCGCCAAGGGAGAAGCGTGTTAGGAGCGTTAACCCGGTATCTGGGACAAGTACTCGAGAATTCATTTTTATCTATGGCCTGTCATCCTTCCGTGCCTACAAAAGTGTCGATATGTGTTTTTAGCTGGGAATACAAAAACATGAAATAAGCTGTCAAAACGGCAGTTCTCACTAGAATGGAAGCTGCCGAGGCCGGCGGGCTTCATCTGTTCTGTCGCTGCCCCACCCCGAAGGCCCGCGACGGGGAGGGTCCGACACCTAAGGACAGACCAGTACTTGTCGGAGAGACGGAGGACGGACTCTCACCCTAAGTCTGCGAGCCGGGCCGACCAGCTTCCTGCTACTCAGCTGAAAACTGCCATGCGCAGCGGCTACTCAGTTCTAATATTCCTAAATCCTCAAAAAACTTGGAGAAAACAATCACTAGTTTCTCGCGTGTAACGCAAAATTTTAAACAGCAGACCCAATGCCCGAGGACCCCGAGCGCCTGTCGGCTGCGGCACAGCAGCCGGGCCTCTGCCGCCGCCGGCCCAAACGGCCCCAGTTCCGCAGGCCATAGCCGCGGCAGGACCACACGGGCCACCCAAGCACAGTGAGCGCGTGAGTGACTTCTCCAGCCCGGGAATCAAGGCACAGCAACAGGGACAGCCAGCCTGCAACACTCCTCGGCCGGACCCAGCTGCGCGCAGCACAGCACCGCGGACTGGGGATCACAGCGCGTGAGCGAGAGCAGCGCCACGGGGCCGCTCACCCTGGGGCACAGGCGCCTCCTCTACGCATCGGCTCCAAGCTCGTCCGCAGACACAAACACCCGTGGATCCCGGAAGAGAAAAACGTGGCCCAGTCCAAGCAAGCACAGATGAGCTACACAAACATACTGGCTTCCAGCTTTCTCTGTCCTAACCGAGCTTTATCTGAAAGCAGTTCCGGGGCATCTGGGTGGCTCAGTCAGCTGACCATGTGACTCATGACTCTGGTTCTGGTCCTGATCTCAGGGTCCTAGGATCGAGCCCCACATCAGGCTCCCTGCTCAGCCGGAGTCCTTTGGGATTCTCTCCCTCTGCCCTCCCCCTCACCACCCCCCAAAATTAATAAATATGTCTTTAAAGAATAAAAACAACAAATAAAGGCAGTCCTGGGAGGGAGAGCTCAATGCTGCGTTCCTCACAGCATTTCGTAATACAGATTACACACTACCATTTGAACCAAATGAAGAAAAACGATGTCGTTTAGCTGAATGATAAAATGTCATATACATATATACACGTCACATCTGTACACTACATTGGGATACGTGTGGGAAACACTTCTGCACGAATGTCAATGTATTTCTCTACCCTGTGGCTAACTTAGAACAGCTTTAGTTTAATTAAGAGAGCTCTAAAAAGGAATATTTAGAGGTCTAACATGAAAATAAACTCAGTCTATTATTATTTTAAAACCAAACAAATGTTCTTCCTCTTGCAGGTGGATTTCTTACATGTACTGTTAAATTTAAAGATACTTTTCTAGACACTGTTCATACACACAAACTTGCTTCTACTAATGTGTCCTAAGAGTATATTTCAGTGTGTCATTTCTAGTATTTTATAAAGTTATTTGAGAAAAAAAATTTTTAAATGGACCATTTAAACTTCTTCAACTCTCCATATTCACTTATTTTAAATTTTGTTTTTCAATATTCATTTCTGTCCATGTGAACTCTATTTTTATGCATACAAATGCATATCCTGTGACCTTAAGGTTCTGGTTTTTTTAATGTCATCTTATAAGAATAACTTTAAAAAAAAAAAAATGGCCTAAAAAAAGGTTGTCAGCCAATAGAAAGGACACTTCAATAAAATTCATTGAAAGTATAAACATCTGAAGCTAAAACAATGTTTACTGATAGTATTTCTCACCTGGGCTTAGCTCTACTAAATAGGGCAGCTTCTCGGGCGGAAGTGCAGAGCCATAGCCTGACCCCTCCACTTTCTCCTTGCCCTTCGCCAGCTTCCCATCGCCGTGTTTCTTAGTTTTCTTTGGGATATAGTCTGGTGGCCTCCTCTTCAACTGAAAGACTAAAAGCCCTAGAACAGTGCACATTGTCAATCATCAAGCAGACTCACGTCAGTATACAAGACAAACGACTTACCGTCAACTCTTCTAAGATCTACCAAGAAAACGTAATTTAACATCTCCCAAGAAGTGACTGAGTGAAGGCTTACCCAATTTATACTTTTACTCTGTAGAGGAAATTTTAGTCACTCATGTTCTGAAAAAGTCTACCAGCAATTTCCAAAAATTATTTCAAATCAACTACCTTGATTGCGAGCACATCACGTGCTTGAGAACGACACAGCAGCCGTTTAAGACCCAATGAATGTCCACACTGGCAAATCGCGCTGTGCTCAGTGAGCGCGCGCATACACACACACACACACATACCGCCACGCATGCGCCCCTGAATCCTCAGCTGGACAACTAACATATCCAGCAGAGATTTAATGTGTCATACAAACAATTCTTTAACAAACAAAACTGCCCTTTACCTTTGTCACTCGGCCACTCCCTGAAGATCTGTAAAGGGCACTCATCGTCATCAAGGACAATTTCTTTAGCACCTTTTTCATCAGAATGCTGGGCTCCAGGAGGAAGCATAACCTGGAAGGGAAAAATAATGAACTGCGCTATGCCTAAAAATGAAATTACCAGGATTTACAAACCAGAATTTATTGCAAATAGAAGTCATGGTAGAATTAAACTGATCCAACACTAAACAATTCCCCAACTATCAACGGAAGGACAGCAGCTTCCAAGAAAAGGCTTAGCCAGCTTATTGGGCCCTTTTATCTACCTGCCCCTCTGGCCCCCAGAAAGAACTAGTGCAGTCATTTTGTTTTTCAAAAAACTCTTCTGGGGAAGGGTGGTACACAATGGTCAAATTGGGAGTAAGTTCTTAAGGAAAGATCACTCCACTACTGCTCAGTCTCTGGTCCCTAACCCACGTCTGCGTCATCAAATAACTGTTGCCATGGTCTCGTCTACTGTGGGATCTCGCAAGACAACTGGCACCTGACAAGGAAACAGCACAGATTTCCTTTTCTTACAGAGAATGTGTCTTTATGATGAAATCTTAATCAGACCATTTAGCTATACCACTGGGCTATTCATTCAACAAATGTTTTTAAGCACCTGTTTTAAAAGACTACATTCAGAGACACTCTTAAAATTCATAATGCTGTATTACTTTTTATGTTTCTATGGTAGCCAACAGTCTTCTTCATGGTCTGAGAAAGCCCCCAGCAATACAGAGGAAAGATCTAGGAGACGGCAGCCCAATAATCTCCCGCACGGCCTGGACGTCTGCCCTCCTTCGTTCTCCTTTGCTGTTAGAGCAAACCAAAACGCAGTCACAGAGATTCAGGGAAGAAGCGAAACCACCGGCACGTGAACGTCGTCATTCCCAGCCTACGGTACCGCAGTGACGTCACCTACCACTCAGATACATTGTCACAGCCCCTACACCAAATGGGTCAGACCCCCCTAGAGAACCCTGGAATTTCTCTCCACCCTGCTTCAAGACTATCTGAAAAAGACAAATGTATTATAACACACTGTCTTGCTAAAGTAATTAATCTTCCTTGTACTGTTTTGTATTGAATTTAGTATCTTGGGCTTAGAACACACATAGTTCAGAACCGATCTTCTTTCCTCTCATGTCCCGATCTTCATCAGGCGCCCTGGCAGACTCCAGACATGCCCGACTACTCAGAGCTCTCAGATGAAGCCGTGAGTTCCACATGTCCATGCTCTGTGGAGCCTAAAAGGCTCGTCTCCCAGCGTCCATGTGTAGCTCAAGCACAGCTCCTCCAGGAAGCCCTCCCTGACCACCACTCTCATTCCAGGGCTCCCTGATTTGTAATTCTCATGCTTGGCTTTTCTGTCTCCCTTTAGTGTAAGTTCTTTTAGAGATAGCTCTTGCTTTCGTGACCCCACAGAGTACCTAACAAGTAAAAGGAACTTAAATATTTATTGAATAAAAGCTAAAATAACAAATGAGTGAATATGGAAGCACTACCTATTACATAACTGGTAAGATGGCAAACCAAGAGAAGAAAGAATATCTAATTCAAGATTAAAACAATAATCAACTCCCTAAGCTTATGAAGTAGAATTTACAAAGACATAATAGAGCAGAAAAACCCAAAGCAGGACACCCTCAAAAGAAAACATCAAATGACCTCAAGAAGGCCAGTTATTACTGCCCAAAGCAGGCTTTTGTAACTTCAGGACCCTGATTTAAGGTGCCCTTTCACATCTGATTTTCATCAGTAAAAGTATGGAAGAAATTAATGAAAGGGAAAAAAATGATAAAGTTCATGACTAAATATTGTGTCGAATGCAACTTTATGTGGAACTGAGTATTATTTAATAGATTCACACGTGTTCACAAAAAACATTCCCTTGGCAAACCCTTGCAACCCCAAGTCTCGGGTGCAAGGCTGGGCGTTGCTAGCGCAGTTCCTGCCCCAGGTGCCCACAGACCAGCAGGGTGCAGCTGGAAGAGGGTCCGGTCTCTGCTCCGCAAGGTAGGCCCTACGCACACTGCTGACTGATTTTATTCTGACCAGGAACACTGTCCACAGCCACGACTAACCACAACCGTATGGAACACGCATCCAAATCCATCCCTCTCCACAGGCCCAGTCACTGAAGAGGCGGAAGTGTACTTCCCAGATAGTGATGCTCGCTGTGGATTCCTCCGGAACGGGAAAGCGGCGATCTACCAAACCCAGCACTACAACACGGTTCTCCTCAACTTCGGACCTAACTGTCAGGAGGAAATGCACCAGAAGGGCCTGGGTCTGAAGCATCTCCCCTTCAGAGGCAATGCCTGATTACCTTCATTACCTACTCTCCCAACCGCACCCCATGAGTCCCCCCCTTCCCAAGTAGGGCAGAATTTCGGTTCAGGATACTGTTTCCTTTTCTATGAGCCCACTGAACCATGATCCCATGAATCCCCAAAATATATCTTTTATTTCTGGAGGCATCGCTTTCCCTTCTAATTTTCAATCCCACTTCTTACGCTCTTCTAGTGAACCCAAAGGAAATGAAAGAGCGTATCAAAAAACAAACACTCGTGATCACTTATCTTTCCCCACCCCACAAAGAAATGAGCTTTGGGTTTTGGGGGGTTTTTCTGGTTCCAATACAGGCTCACTGTAAAAAACTGCAATAGAGAAAAGCATAAGGAGGGGCGCCCGGGTGGCTCAGTGGGTTAAGCATCTGCTTTTGGCTCAGGTCATGATCTCAGGGCTCCCGCATCGGGCTCTCCGCTCAGCAGGGAGCCTGCTTCTCCCTCTACCTGCTTCTCTGCATACTTGTGATCTCTCTGTCAAATTAATAAATAAAACCTTAAACAAAAAAAAAAAAAAAAAAAAGAGAGAGAGAGAGAGAAGCATAAGGAAGGAAAAAAAAACAAAAAAGACCAAAATCCACTGTGAGATGACTGTTTTCACAATCACACGTTCAGTAATGATCTTTATGCATCTATCCATGGCACGTAAGAGGGCTCCCGAATCACACCTGTATTTCAAAGTCTTCTGTTCTCCTTCCTCCCTTCAGGTACGTAACTGGTAACCTGCTGTGCATTCTTCCGGGCGTCCATCCTTCTCTATGGTCACATATGCATAGACACAGACTTGTGTTGTTCCGTTTTATTTTATGGCGACTGTTTTTCCAAAAACGGGGTTATTTTATAAAATATGCATGTAGATTTAATTCATAACATTTCATAGCAACAGGTATCCAATGGCATAGCATTCCTTTAGTGATGGGTGTTTAGTTTTGCTTATTTATTACTGTGACACACAGGGCTGAAGAAACGTCCTCACAGACCACACTCAGGAAGGTACTGGCCATGTTTCAGACAGCGTGACTTTTACCACCTCCTTTACAGACACAGATTTCAGACTCCAACAATCTCCCCACTGTGCAGAGGGTGCTATGTGGGGTGACTGCACAGACACCTTCCAGACTCTCCGTCGCCCTCAGGATGACCTCTGCGCTAGACTCTACTCGGGGAGCCTGTGCCTTTCTACCTCTTGGCCCACTTAACCATTTTGCTGGAGGATGTCCTCTGCTACCTTTTTGAGAAAGGCTGGATGGATGGTAGACTTTGCCTTGAATGTTCTGAAATGTCTTTGTTCATCCATCTAGCACGCGGCAGTCTGCATGGAGAGCAGCTCACTGAGAGTTAGAAAGCGCATGTCACGTCACGTGTTCTAGACCCCATGGTGCTCACACAATGACCAGCACCGGTCTTGCCCCCAACCTTTTACATGTGACTACGGTCTTTTTCTTTGGAATCATTATTCTCTTTTCTTTAGTTTTCTGCAATTTCAAAATAATGCACCTTAGTCTGGCTCTTTTTTGAAGTAACTATACCATTATTCAGCGGGCCCTCTTTGAGCTCAAAACTCAAACCCTCCAGTTCTGGGAGCCATTCCAGGACACTTCCTTGGTAACTTCCATCTCTTCACGTCCTCTTGCTTCCTCCCTCTGGCCCTCCTTTGGCTAAGTGCCAGGCAGTCTACAGGATGACCTTCCTGATCGTTTCTCCCTGTCCTACATGTGGGCAGATATCTTGAACTTCCACCCCCTCCACTGGCATTTTTTTTCCTATCCCTTTTTTACTTATATTTAAAGTTCCCGGTCTCCTTCTCCAAGTGTCCCTCGTGACAGCACTGTGGTCCTCTCCAACGGAGCCACGGCCTTCCTTCTCCCTCTGAGTCAGTTTTTCTGAACACTTCCGTGTGCTTTCTGCCCTGTCTCCTCCATGAAATATGACCAGGTTCTTTACCTGTTTGTGTCGGTCTGTCTTTCATTTTAAAGGGGTTTCCACTATGTGCGGAAGCTTGCTGTCTGCTCGCATTTGCCCGTGAGGCACAGGGAAGCAAGCTCCAGGCGCACGGCAAGATGACCGTCGGGGGCCCTCTGAGCGAGGTTCCCGGGCTGGACTCCCGCAGGCGAGCGTCCATACAGACCTTCCTCGAGAGGCCAGAGGGTGCCTTCCGGGAGAAAGCCTCCGATCTGCTGGCTGTCGGGCCCGGGGCCGAGCTTCCACCTCAGCCTCCCACCTGCAGGAAGACCCTGGCCGTACCCTGCAAGGCCAGTCACCGCCCAATGCAAGGCCTCCTTCACCGTCTCCTCTACCAAGCCTTCAGATGGAGAGATGGCAGGGAGCGGGGATGGGGAGGCGAGCTGGTGCGGTCTATCGCTTCCTGTGAAAGCTCCCAACCCCTGTTTCATTTTCGCCCCGCGTCAGTGCTGACTCAGCAAGCACTCCAGCCCCTCATGCCCAAGTCTGCTGGGGACTGAGGCAGGCCCCTGGCCGGTGCCATCTGCTGCGTTCTCTCTGCAGCTTTCCCGGGGCCCAACCAGTCGGACACCAGTCTTTACTTCTGCAGAATTTCATTCCCAACTCTGCTCTTTTGCCACCTCTCCTTTCTCTTTGTTCTTGTGCATTTATACAATTATCTTATTTCTTTATTGTCATTGCAATGGGAAAAATGTTTCATTTTCAGCTAACAACGGAGCTATATTCATAAAATTACAGATCTACCAAACAGTCTTTCCAACTGAATATAACTTCTTAGCTTTTCAGCAGAAAGATAAAAGCCATAAAAATCAACAAGCCCTTTTATTTAATTTCATCTATAGCTAACAAAAGAGGCCTCAGACCTCTACACTGAACGCTACAAGACACTCCTGGGACTCAAAGACGGCACCAACAAAGGGGCGCCCTGTGCTCACAGCCTGGCAGACGGGACACTTGAGGGTGGCCGTCTCTCTGACTCATCTACAGAACCCAGGCAAACCCCGTCACAATTCCAGCAGCTTCTGCATACGAATTGATGAGCTGATTCCGAAATTTATTCAGAAATACAAATGACCTAGAAAAACTGAAGCGATTTTTAAAAGCAAAAACAAAACAAAAAAACAAAATTGGGACTTATTTTACACAGTAAAACTTTAGGACTTATTATAAAGCTACAGTAATCAGTACAGCTTGATGCGACCAAAAAGATAAAAGACGTGCAGATTAACAGAACAGATGACAGAACTCGAACCATACATAAATGTATAGTTACTTATACAAATATAAATATATGATACATATAAATATATAAAATATACTATATGTCTATACATTATGTATGTAAAACATATAAACATATCTACAAATACGTATAATTACTCTATATTATATACACAAATACATATAAATACACATAAATAAATACAGATCCAACTGATTTTCAACAAAGGTGTCAAAGCACTCCAGAGGAGAAAATAAAGTCTTTTAACCAATTGTGCTGCGTCAACCGGGAAAAAATGAACATCTACCCTAATCGCACACTGTACACAAATGTTAACTTGAAATGGAACATACAGACCTAAGTGTAAAAACTAAAGCTATAAAACACAGGAGGAAGGGCACCTGGGTGGTCAGTTAAGCGTCTGACTTCTGCTCACCCGGCTTCTGTCCTGGAGTCCTGGGAGAGGCATCAACCAGCGCTGGGCTCCCTGCTTCTCCCTCTTCCTTTGCCCCTCCCTTCCGCTCCTTCTCTCTCTCTCTCTCTCTCTCTCTCTCTCAAATAAATAAATAAAATCTTTAAAAAAATAATATTAAGACACAGGAGGAAAGTATTTTCAACCTCAGAAAAGGCAAATTCTTTTATAGAACACAGAAACAACAGAACGCTTAAAAAAAAAAAAAAAGGTTGACTTAGCCAAAAGTCAAAAAAACCTCTATTCTCTAAAGGGCATCATTAAAAAAATGAAAGGCGAACCAAGTCACAGACAGGGAAAAAATATTCACAACAAATGTATCATACAAAGGGCTTAACATATATATATCTCAAGAGGGTAATTAAATAATTTTTTTTAAAGATTTTATTTATTTATTGAGAGAAAGAGAGAGTATGAGCAGGGAGTAGCCCGATGTGAATCCCAGGACCCTGGGATTAAGACCTGAGCAGAAGGCAGATGCGTAACCAACGGAGCTCCCCAGGAGCCCCTAAAAACGTCTTCCACAGTGAGAGAGCCCGATAACCTATCCGAACGGCTGGTGTGGAAAGCGACTGAGCACATCCGATACGGTATTCTCACCAGCTTCTGGTGCACATGGCACACGATACAGTCAGCTTGCAGTACAGTTTCAAAGTTTCTTAAGAAGTTACACAAACACTTCACTCAAGAAAAGAAGTCTGTCCGTGAGAAGACCTGCACCCCCACACTCACAGTGGCTTTACTCTCGCAGCCCCACACCGGAAACTGGAAACAACACAAGTGTCCGTCAACAGGTAAGCAGATGAACGAGCCTGGAAATACCCACATAACGAGCTGCTGCTCAGCAACAAAAAAGCAGCAAGCACGGGTCCCCGCAAGCACACTCGAAACCAGTATGCCAAGCACAAGAACGCAGGCAGTAAGAGGACACGCTATATGCTACTTACATAAAAACTCTACAAAATGTAAGTACTTCCTAGTGACAGCAAACCAGGGGCGGCCTGGGGAAGGGAGACGAGGAAGGGAGGAATGACACAGAGGCACACAGATTTCTGGGGGTCACGAGATGGCCCTCCACACTGGTACATCAGTCCCAGTGGGGCCGCAGAGGGCAAGTCCGTGCCGTTCCCCGCACGGCAAGCATTCCTCCATAATCCGGGCAGGGAGGGGGACTGAAACGACGAACCACACTCTTCTAGGACTTAGCCGTCGAACGCTAAGAGGAGGAAAGGCAGACATCTCTAGGAAAACCCCAGTGCCAATGCGACTTAACAGGAGTCCTGGTGATGAAGTCAGCACACACTCATCCCTGACTTTCGGGTTAAAAATTGTCCAAGCAGTCTGTCTCAGAGAGAAAACCTGCTTGGTTTTGCTTACTATGACCCACTCAGTTCTGAGGAATAAGAGCTCACTGTGTGAAGCTCACTGGGTGAAGACACACGGCCTTCATCTGCACGGAAGGACGGTGAGACTCGCGGCAGGCGCCCAGTGCCAGCCAGCACAGCAACACAGAAGGGAATCTTCATGCTGCGATCTTAGTCGACCGTTAGAAAAACCCTTAGATAGGTTAAGTTACCTGCACAGCGAAGCAAGAACTAAAAAGATATATATCTATGTATATATACAGATAAGGGTTATCTTTTGGTATTAGAACCAGGGGTGGTTTTTATTCTCTTCACGTCACCTTTCTATACTTTCTTCTTTTCCTTGTATTTATTTATTGCTTTTGGAAAAGAAGGGAGAATGTTAGTTTTCTGTACATACTTAAGACGGGGTTTCCATCCGCTACGTCCTAAATGACGCTACTGGGAGAGAACAAGCCTGCCTTTAATGTCAGCTACGGAGCACATTTCCGCTGAAACGGGACTCGCCGCCTGCGTAACGCCGGTAAGCTCCGCCCTGACAGTCACATACAGTTACGTACCCGGGCAATGCAGTAATCCTTTGGGTTTTCTCTCTCCAGACCGTATTTCTCTAAAGCTTCAGCCACAGCAAAGTCTGCAGGGTCCGTGGTAGACAGCAGGATTGTCTTGTATGGAATATTTGGTTTTAAACTATCTGCATAAATTCTCAATGTTCCACCTGAAAAAAACATTTTGACATCTTTGAGCACTACTTTATTTTATTCCAGTAACAAAGACAGCTAACATTCATGATCACTTAAAAAAGGGGGCACCCAAGTTCCAGGTGCAAGGCGCACGAAGATGGAATCTGTGTAGTAATTCTATATTCGTGTCTGGGAGACAACATGCAACGGCAGTCCCTTGTTGGTCTAACAACCTTCTGTGACACTGACCCACCCGGTATGACGAAGACGGTTTCTGTCCTCTCCTTAAGCCCAAGCAGTTTTTATGACGATGAACCGATGCCCACTATGGGTCCCGGGTGAGAACGGGAAGAAACTCCCGAGAGCTTTGATGGTGCTGCCCGTGAACACGTTTAGCCACACACGGACTCACACAGACCGCGCGCCCCCAGGTCCCAATGCCAAGGATACAGCGACGGACAGGTCAGCGGGGACGCTTACTGTGCGGCTGTGGGGCGCAGGAGGAAAGGACGGACAAGGGGCGAACAGTAAGACAGTGGTACATGTGGTGCAAACACAAGCAGGGCTGTGAGGAAGCGAATGACCAAGAGCCTCCTAAGCGCCGGGACTGTGAAGCCTCTACGAGGACGAGCAGCCACCAGGAGCCGAGCCGCAGGGGCAGCCAGGGGCTGGCGGCAGCCGCAGGGGCCCCTCGAGAGCTCCCGGGCGGAGGGACCGGCAGGCGCTAAGGCCTACAGCTGGCGTGGGTCTGGCTGGGCTCACCGGCCAGAGATGAACCCCAGGTGAAAAGAGGGAAATGCAGTGAGACTGGCCAAGGCCAGGTCACACGGGCCCTCCTCGCCCGCCATCACACAGGCCCAGGCCAGACCATGACCCTGAGAGTCCGGGTCTGACTCTAGTGGAAGCGGGAGCCGCCGGGAGGCTCTGGCTCTGTGCGCGCACACACGGAAGAGCGAGGCCGCGCCCACGTGTGGGGAGTGGGCAGGTCGCCCCTTGTGCTCTCCTGGGGCAGGGGGCTCTGGGGCTGCAGGCGGACGGGAGCCCCGCAGCGAGGCCAGCTCCGATGCGCGCATCCGGCTCCACCGAGGCGCATCCCGCTGGTTTTACTACCTCTACGTCCAGATGCACACGGGAACTGACTTACTAGAAGGACGTGGACAAGAGAATGAGTGAAAACAATCCTACCGGCTGAGGTAACACCTCCGTGTGCTTTGATCAGACAACCACAGAGCAAACCAGACTACCTGTTCGGAAAGCGGAGGAGATGGCTACAAAAAAGGCAAATGGTCAGAAATTTAATTTTTCTAAGAAAATTTTGTATCCGCTAAAAGCCAAGGCAAGTACGTGGCAATCCCAAAGTCACAGACCATAGAGGATGAAAGACTGTTGGGTCTGAAAAAATGTTAAGGTCAGGGTTTACCAGAAAATCATTTAACAAGTCAGTAAGGTTCCTACGGACAGCACCCCTCCAGCAGCTCCTCTTCTAAAGGACACGTTACGACGCGGCCGCTGTAAAATTCACACTCACAGGCCAAATGAGCTCAGCTGTTGGGCGGAATGACTTCTAGCACCTGTCTGAACGTCCGGCATATCCACAACTTGAACTGGTTTTAGTCTGAGCGTGGAATCGAATTCAAAGGGCTTTCAGTTGACAAGCCTAACGCCGCAGTACCCTCCTCGCAGAGACACACTCCCCCCAGCCTGCTGCGCCAGGAGAGAGGGGCAGCTAACAATTTAAACGCCCTACTATGCACTGAGATCGATTTGCACGAACCTGCGCGTCAGCTCTAAGACTAAGGCAGGGCTGCCACTCCACTCTGAGGACAAACGGCCAAGGCCTGCGGGTCTGTGGGACTACAACTGTGGGATCCCCGCCGCAGTGCTCTGCCGCTCCCCAAACTGCTGGTGAGGAAGCTGAGGCAGGAGGACAGACACCTAGAAGAGCTTCGGGATGCTGCCAACGACGCCTTGGTAAGAAATCCACGGCCCTAACTGGTGGCAAAACACTGTGCCACGAACCAATTAACTGACAGACACAGGGCACTTCGGGGCCAACGGCACTCACTCGGAGGCATCACAAGCAGATATACCCGAGTACTGAAGAAGGTTCACGAAGTCCCAGGTCCAAGCTTCTTACAAGCTGCGAGTCTGATCAGCTGTGTGGTGAGTCAGGTCATAAGAATTCAGGGAACCAACCCTCAGGCCAAGCAGACACGAAAATAACGGACAGGGCGGCGAGTCTTGGGAGCCTTACCCCCATGGCCGCGCCCCATCTCTTCTACCAACCAAACAGCCGGGCTAGTAACTCTGACAGGTTATGGAAATATATTTTTAAGTCATTTATTAAAGAAACAAAATAGCTGGACTTAATGTATTCGACATCCTTAGTATTAACCATAAAGAGCTATTTTGCTAATATTTAGTTTTTTACGGTTTCTTGGGACTCTATATAGAAAAATGTTCCTTCTGCTCCCAACTATCTCTTCAACCTCTACTTGGTAGATGTTCTGCTAGTTTTCCTAATTCTTTGGAGGTTTTGTTTTCCTCTTGTCTTTGCCTACTCCTCTTAACAGTAGCCTTCCCTTAAATTCTTCTATTACCTGTGTACTTTCTACCGAAAAGAATCTCACCACGTCCAGTGGTGCTGCCTGACAACCACAGATCGCTCCCAAATCTCTCTCTCCAGCTGACATTGTGACCAGAACCTGGTCTTGAGCCACTCAGCCAGCAGCTCAGAGCATGCCCCAGGTCACACCAGCAGCTCCATGAAACCCGTCTTCCACTCCTAAACGTTCTCTCACTGCAGTCCATCAGCATCCATCTGACTGGAGACAGGTGTCGCAGTCTGGACCACGTCTTGGTAACCCCACCTCTTGGGGCCTCGGCTTCCGTGTGACCAGCCTACGGCCAGCTGCTGTGCTCAGGGACCCAACCCTCACACAGGCAGCACGCGCTCACTTCCAGACGCAGTTCCATGAGATCCATCCTCGATTCTGCTCCCACGGTAACCACTCCAGACCTGAAGCAAGGCTACATTAGAAACTTTCTGAATCCCCACCTTATAACCCTTCAGCAGCACACTAACAGACCACATCTAATTTCTCCATCCAATTTTCGCCATAAACATGGGTCTCTGTGGGTACAGCCTGAAGTGACATACAGAGTTTCCCGTAACAATACACACATTACATCCTAATCCACATTAAAAGCACATTTCTTCTAAAAGTATTTTATTAAGTTACTTACAAAAACGGATCCCCTGAGCTAGCTACGTTTCTCACAACTCACGCGTCCCTGAGCACACTTGGCTATTCCTCAAGGAATCGCTGAGAAAATGATCATTTCGATCACGTCAAACTCCTTCCTAAGAGAATCCCTCTGGGTCTGTCAAGCGAAAGGTCCCTGTACATTAAGCATCTCTGAGCACTCCTCTTGTTCTTCAAAAATTTTATTCCTTTCTTCCTCCTCTTTGTATTTTCTTTCCCTCCTCATTTTCTTTTTTTTTTTCCTTAGGGCACACATTTCTAAGCCATTTCGAATCTTCCAGCAAACAGGACAGGACAGCTATAAACAGACGGTCACCTGGAGCTCGGGAGTGACGGGTTACATTTATCCATGGAACTAGGAAGCGGCCCGCTCTACCCACTGCTCTGAGTCACGGACGCTGCAGCTCCCATGGAACGTGTAACTGAGACTCAGAAGAAGGCTGAGGGCCCAAGTAAACACGTGACAGAGCCCGTGTGGCTCCCCGTGGGGAACACATCCCTGACACAGCACCCGGCGTGAGTTCCGAAGACATGGAATCCCTGGCAGTTTCTGTCAAGTGACCGAGCACATCAGAGCCCCGGTCCACAGACAACCCCAAGAAGCAGACAATACAAGCTGAGAGACTAACACTCTTCGCGTGAACGTAATATGGGTGTCAACACGGCCCCCCATGGGTCTGCCCCGCTGTCACACACGCAGACTGGATTACAGTTACGACTGTCATCTGGGTAGGGGTGGAAACCCTCTGACTTGGGCTTGGGCTCCAGAGAAGGGGTCCACCGTCGGAGAATCGCTGCGAGTCCCGATATTCAAAACCCTAAACCGAGCGAGTGAGCAAGCAGGTGCAGAGCAGACAATGGGCCACCAGCAGCTCCCAGTCTGCGAGCATAAGGTCGGGGAGGACCGCAGGGTGGCGGGCCCTGCTCAGTCAGACACCCACACAGAAGGCCGGATCGGTGATACAGTCCTCACATATATGGCTTCTTTCTGAAACTCAAAATGACTATGCTGTCATTCTGTAACAACCAAAACTAACTGACAAGTTTCTAACAAATATTTTCTTTGCCGAATACAATTACAGGTTAATTACAAATAACAGTTTTATGTCAAATAGCTAAATAGCTAAAAACATACATGCCCAATTTACAGCTCAAACAGTAAAGTCATCTGTTATAACTCTCTCTACGACGTGCTAGAGTCATCTCTAGCAGATGCCCGAAGCAGAGGAGACGAGGTGGGGGAAACGTGTATGGACCACGCTGCCGTTTAACTAAAGGGGCTGACAGGGACAAAAGCTGAACTTCTCTACATATACCTTGTTTTGCAGATATGACTTGGGAACTACTAGGTACATGAAATTTTTAAGAAACAAACCTCTAAAATCAAAAGCAAAACAAAATGAACAAAGCGAAGTATAAATCAGTATGAGTGTCTGACCCCACAGTCAGGGATCTACACTATCATTTCAGAACACAGTAATTTCATAGTGTGCCTTAGTGGGCATACTCACAGACAAGTTTGCAAAAAAGCTTAAAATTTCTTCAGTATCACACTGTTGTTAATATTAGTATTATTTTCTTTTGATATTACTATTTATCATAAGGAAAAGCAAATAATTACGTTATCAGTATTAGATGCGAAGAATTTTTAACCTAAGTGAAAAGATACTCAGATCTTCTGAAATCAAAATAGTAAAACAAAACAAAACAAAACAAAAAAACAAAAAAAACAAGGTATTAAAAGTATTTCCTAGCTCATCCACCAAACAGGTGCACAAGCAAACACTAACCAGGAACAAGGAGCAGCCCCAGCAACCAAATATTTGTCCCACTACAAAGAAAAGGAGCCCGGGCCGCCTGGGTGGCTCAGTGGGTTAAAGCCTCTGCCTTCGGCTCAGGTGATGATCCCAGGGTCTTGGGATCGAGCCCCGCATCGGGCTCTCTGCTTGGCCGGGAGCCTGCTTCCCTTCCTCTCTCTCTGCCTCTCTCTCTGCCTGTCTCTCTGCCCACTTGTGATCTCTGTCAAATAAATAAATAAAAATTAAAAAAAAAAAAAAAAAGAAAAAGAAAAGGAGCCCTTGGAGAGACAGCAGCTTGCTCGCTAGGGCAAGAAATGCACTGGGTGGGTGCACTGGACGTCCTGTCACACAGGGAGACCGAGAGCACTGCGGACACGTGGAAGCCTGAGGTGCCGGCAGAGGACACCCGCGCCGCCTCAAAGTGACAGCTCAAGAATCAGAAGGACAGTAACGGCAACAGATGGAAAAATACTGCCAAGTTTTAGCTCTGCGAGTTCATGGAAACATTCCACAAACACTGCTCACCTGTGCTCACCTGTGGACGGTACCAGGGAAGTAGTTCTCCCCTAGAACCCTAAAGCTGCATGTTCACGTGACTGAGGAAAGAGACAGCAGGAGGAGAAGCGGCCGTCTGCAGGATGCTGTCCGCACACGCTGCAAGACCAACAAGCGCCCAGTGACGCATCCTGGAGGGGAGCTAAAGACAGGACCGGAACCCGGAGTGACAGACACACCAAGCAGGGGCCACGTGCAGGTTCCACGCGGCCCCCGACGTGCCTGGACCTGAGGCCATCGGCAGCACGTGACCGACAGAACAGCAGACAGCACTAGGAATTAGCCTCAACTCTTCTGCACGTGACCATGGGACTGCGGTTCCTTCTGTTATCATTTTTCAAGAATCCTTACCTCTAGGAAAACCGTGAAATGGAAGATGAAACACTGAGAAATTTGGGATCTGCTTCAAAACAGTCCAATTTAGGAACAGGAGCAATGCATGCAGGAGCAGAGACGAGACACGCGTCCTCCATCCCAGGCGCTGGACGGTGTCTCCCGTCTCCTTTCACATGCGTTTTCCAGAGTTACAAAACGAAAACACAAGAAGAGCCACACTGGGGAAACTGTGTCACTAAACCTAAGTCTCAGGGAAGGGAACTCCTGTACTTCAAGCCAAGCTGGGCCGGCAGCGCGGGAAGCCCGCCACGGGTACCTGAGTCCGGCCGCCCGTCCGAGCTCCGGAACTCCTGCATCCTCCTTTCCAGCTTCTGCTGCCGGCGCCGCTTCATGACGACCTCCGGATTCGAAATCGTTCGCGTAAAGCTGGTCTCCGGCATGTCTTTGTAAACCTCAGCGGCCAGACGGGAATTCTCACTGGAAGACAAGAAAGGCACCAGCGGTCTTTTCTCAATGTTGTGTTGGAAAGAGCTGTGCTGTAGTCACACACACGCGCCCCTGGCGGACAGCCCTGGGGCTCGCTCTGTCCGCGTGCCACGGGTGAGTGACGCGCTGACGTGTGCTGCGGGTACAAAACGAGGTTCCTCTCGTTATAAGCAACACACTAAACTAAAGGGAAACTTATCATCAAGATCTCCCGATGAGTTTACGTGACTTAATTACTGTGCATTCACCAGTCTAAAAGAAAACTGTATTAATTACACGTCAGGAATTTCCACCAGCGCTTTCCTAAAATAGACAAAATGAGCAATACAACATTCAACCATAAGAAATAAAGGAACAAATATACTTTTACTGAGTAAAACTGTCTTAAAATTACAGTAAATCTTGAGCTCAAATATTATGGTTTTTTAACAAAATGATTTACCAACATTCACTTTCCTGAAGCTAAATTTTCAAAAGGAAAAGGAGTCGAAAGACAAGGAGTCAACTGTAGAGAATGAGGACCGATGACTAAATTTTGATAAATACACTTTGAAGGTGTCATTTTTAATCATAAAAATACTTTAGTGAAAAACCAATCAAGCACTGGGGTGCCTGGGGGGTGGTGGGCACAGTCGGTGAGCCTCGGACTTCTGGTTTGGGCTCAGGTCATGATCTCAGGGACCTGGGGCTCCAAGAGCAGCCCTCACAACAGGGAGTCTGTCTTTCTGCCCCTCCGCATGCTTTCTAACAGCAAAAAATCAAGCTTTGAATCAGCCCAACTGAACGATTTAACTCGTTTTAAGTGACTAATTTTCTAAACACAGACAATATATCACCACGTAAACTGCACTGATAACCAGGAGAAGCCACAGCCCACGTCTCAAATGCTCCTTGTCTCTGGCATTTCTCCTGCGCCAGCACTGGACTTTCTTGAGCTCTACTGCTTACGCTGGAGAGAACCTTACCATGTAACACTGTGCTCGAGAGTTTGTGCTCATTACACAGACGTCACTGCCTGAACCCACTCTGATGCGATCCAAAATGGGCCCGAGTCCACTCTAAAGTAAACACCATTAACTAAGGAACGGTTAAGTGTCCTCAACAGATACAGAACGCTGTTGCTAACAAACAGAATATAGATGGTCGGTGAGTGTATAAAAAGACATCTGCCTTGCTGATGATAAAATAAATGCGAGCTATGGGAGCTATTATGCACAGTTCCCAGGGCAGGAGGAAGCAGGCAGGCTCGTGGGCTCCAGAAGACACTTCCAGGGGCAGCCTGCGACACGTGCGTCCTCAGGCTGCCCGAGCCGTGGTCCGGAGCGCTCCCAGAGCTGGAGAGCAAGGACGCCCATAGTAGTAGTGCTCGTAATACCAAAACACCTAGGAACTACCTACAGCACACAAAAAGGAGCCAGTGAGATAAAACTGTAAAAAAAAAAAAAACTGTGAGACCACGACATAATCATCTGAATTACTTCATGCTTTTATGGCAATACATCCTTGTGAATGTATACACGCGTTTATGGGACATATTCCAGTGGCAAAATGTCACTTGGAAAGCTCTAGTTTTAAAAGCCCATAATTGTATTTTTTTAGTTTACAAACTCTACATAAACACATAAAGTATATATTTGTGTATGAAAAGCAAACTACAGGGATGCGTGGGTGGCTCCGTCAGTGAAGCGTCTGCCTTCGGCTCAGGTCATGATCTCAGGGTCCTGGGATGGAGCCCCGCATCGGGCTCTCTGCTCAGCGGGGAGCCTGCTTCCCTCTCTCTCTCTGCCTGCTTGTGATCTCTCTATCTGATGAATACGTAAAAAGAATCTTAAACAGAAACAGTAACCAAAAAACCTACGGTTCTTTTTGGGCTCCTGTGAGGACAGGTGACTCCTCCTCTTTCTCTGACAACCATACGCTGACTTTCTACCGTGAATGCTGTCACCTCAGCACTGGACGGACAGTGCAGACACCACGCTGCAGGCCCAGCCAGGCGACAAGAGGCCTCGGGGGCAGCACACGCCATGCCTCGGGCCTAACGACCAGACTGACACACGTGAAGATGGGCGGGACGAGGCCAAGCTCTCCCACCCAGGGGGAAGGTCGGCTTCCTCTGATGTCTTTCCTGTCATCATCAAGATGCACTGATTCCCCTTATTCCGGCAGCCCTGAGGTCAGAAGCTCAAAGGCCTCTCGAGAGGAAGTACAGCTAGGACGGGGCTGGTGTGGCGACGGAAGGAAGGGGAGCTGGCGGGGCTGGAGTCAACCAGACAGCATCTGAACCGCAGCTACTGTTCGGGCTGTCCCTGCCGCCCTCAGGGGAGCAGTCAGTGGAGGGAAGGACTGCAGGATGGCGCTGCTGCCTTAAGGACCGAAACACCAGAGACAAAAGGCCAAAGATGAAGAAAATACCGACCTCCGTCGTCTACTCCGAGAAAACGCGACTGCTCACCAGCGTGCTTCTCTGGGACTAGCAAACCCACGAGACAGGAAGGGTCGGCCGTCGGCCGTAACCCTTGCTTAGGTGAGACCCTCCCCCCACACAAGAGCCAGAGGCGACCAAATTAACTTCCCAATGGATGTGCACCCTCTTCACAGTTTCTCTGGTAATTTAACGAGCAAAGGCAAATAGAGATATTTCCAGAATTACTTACATGTCATCCCCCTGGAAAGGCCCATCATCCTTATCAGATGCCTGCCTCACTGCCTCTTTTTCTCTCTTCTTTTTCTCCTTCTTTTCTTTCTTTGAGAGAGTTCTCTTGAAGTTCTGGATAACACCTTCTTTCTCCTGCTTTTCAGGTCCGTTGCTTTGAGCCTTCTGGTGAAAGCAGCATCATTACTATGACGGCTGGTACACAGAGTCACAGAAAGGTCTTTAGGCCACGCTGACCGCCTGTCGCGTGCTACCCTGACACCCAGCTACAGGAACGGGGAAAGGTCCGGGCGATGGAACGCGCTGTACTTTGACTGGGCTGATGTTACAGGCATGTATTTACAAAGCTGAGTGAATTATACATCCAAGATCTGTGTGTTTCCCTGTGTGTATATTTTACTTTAATTCAAAACTAATATGTAAGTAAACAGAAAACCAAACCCACTAAGAAAACTAGAGTAGGAATCACGAAACCTGATTTTCAATTAATAAAAATCCAAATAATTTACATAAAGTTACTTTTTTTAAAAAAGCCTAATCAAAATACGGAAATAACTGGGGTCCTGGGTAGCTTAGTTGGTTGAGCATGGCACTCTTTTTTTTTTTTTTTAAAGATTTTTATTTATTTATTTGACAGAGATCACAACTAGGCAGAGAGGCAGGCAGAGAGAGAGGAGGAAGCAGGCTCTCCGCTGAGCAGAGCCCGATGCGGGGCTCCATCCCAGGACCCTGGGATCATGACCTGGGCCGAAGGCAGAGGCTTTAACCCACTGAGCCACCCAGGCGCCCCGAGCGTGGCACTCTTGATTTCATTTAGGGTGATCGTCTCAGGGTTGTGGGATTGAGCCCTTGCACGTGACTCCATGCCCAGTGCAGAATCTGTCTGTCCCTCTCCCTCCCCCTTGCTCTAATAAATAAAATAAAAAAAAAAAAAAAGGAAATAACTGTTTAAATCATTATCTACTTCATATTTAACTTCAAAACAAATGTTAAGCATACTGTAAGAAGCTGACTTTTTTAGAGCAAAATTATTAAGTGCTGTTTGTGCTAAGACTTCCAATTTCTTTCCCAGATCTTATTTATCTGCTTGTTAATTCTTAACTCACAACATGGCCTGCTAAGCAGATGACACAGAGGCTTTTGGGGGGGGATAATTAATAGGCTGGTAAAGAATCAAGAAAAGCACGAAAGAATGGTTACTGTATTGGGAAATAAGCTACCTTCTGTTTTATCTAAGTTAGCATTTCCATTTTCCTTGCTAGCCACTTCAGCATTGTCCTAACCCTCATAAGAGCTCTCATGCACATGGAAGAAGATCTCTGGCCCACTGCAAGGCACATCAGCTGAAATCAGGGGGCAGGAATGAAATAAAACATGGACCAAAAGAAAAAAAAAAAAAGAGAGAGAGAAAGATGTCCGTTATTCCTTTATATGAATTTGCTACAAATGCCAAGCCACTGAAGCACGTAACAAGTAAGGCCGAGAACACAGCCCGTGTATCTAACACTCTTCAGCACAGAACACCGACATCACGGAAATAAGGTGGAACGTCTCTGTTTCCAGAGTGAACAATGACACTCTTTCCCAATCTGTTGAGGAAAATGATTAAACAGAAGATTTTTTTCAAAATATCCTTGACTTTTGCATTTGCTATCATTTGTCAATACTGAATTCTAGTGTAAGGTGCCGCTTGATTTGACACAGAGATGACAGCTGTTTTCGAGTCTTGTCTGTGTTTCGTAGTGCTCCGCAGAAGAACAGCGGCACAGGAACCCCCGTCTCCCGACCCCTGAGAGAGTTTCAGCATCACTGCATGACCTCAGCCCAGAAAGTCTGCTAATTTCTTATCTTACACAGGGTATGAAAAGGTTGAAAATGTGCCCTATTAAGTTGTATCTGAAAAATCTACGCATAATACGTTATTAAAGTTCTATTTTCCCTTATGATTCTTATTAAAACATATTCTGACTTTCTAATTTGGTAAAAAACCTGGGGCTGATTAGTTGATCATTCAATCTCTTAATAACAAAAGCTTCCATAATGCTTCTTTGCAAAAGTAAACAGCAATATTGGGGATTATTTAGCGAAACAGGATGAAACAGAGAGAAGTAGGAGTCCTTTCCGTTTGCTTACTGGGAGAAGGGCAAAAAAGTCATTTAGGAAAAGCAGCAGACGGGACAGGTCAGTGGAGTCCTCCCATTATCGTGAATCTGTCATTCACCATGGTCAGACCTGGACCCAGGATGTGGTCAGCATGGGACACAGCCAGCAGGGGACGCCGCCAGCACGGGACGCGGAGGGACCCTACCTTAGGAGGAAGGGCATCATTCTCATTCTTAAGAACAAATCTGCCCTCTCGATCATCCTTATTCCAATTCAACTGAACAACAAGGGGCTTCTCATCTATATCCAATCTTCTTTCTTCTTCAAATCATGAAATGAAAAAAAATTAAGTCATGGTTATTCACCGGCACCAGCTAATACAACACTCTCATATACGTTTAATTTATTACTATGCTAATCCCAATTAGCATATGTTAATCAGCACAGCAAAGCTACCTAATGCTAGCACAATATTCTCATATACGTTTAAATTAAGATATAAGATACTTCATCACCACAAATACTTACTAACAGGCTGAAACGTCATTTAAACTGTGAGGCGCTAGTTGTACTCACTTACTGTTTTGTTGCCACTGTAATATATACTACCATGTGCCCAACAATGACCAGGGCTAATGTCCTTATGACATTTAGAATCCAACTGGAAAAATAAAAGAATTATACGCAAACTAGGGGGAAAAAAGTATATAGGGCTTTGCTATCAGCCTAATTCTGTAAATCAAATTATCTCATATATGCAATTGGAAAATAAAGAAACAGTGTTAACATAACACAGGAGTTCAGTCAACCTGTGAGATTGCCTTCTCACACGAGTCTTAGTGACTGCTGTACTCTTCTTTCTATCCCTCATCTCCCAAGCTCACCAGGTCCAGCCCTCACAGCACCTCCCACCAGGAAACCACCATCCCATGTCCTCGTCAGGGTGAAGTGCTAGGGTTAGAATACTCCTCGCTTGCTAGGCATGTACTGGTCAGGATGGTGACGGAGTGGGCATCCTGAGGGCCCGGCACACCTTGGCCGCTTAGCAGAAGCCTACAGCTGGCAAAGAGCATCCACGAAACCGTAGAATGTCCACACTGAGGGCGGCAAACACAGGAGGTGGAGGCCAGCTGGAGAACCACCATGGTAAAGGAAGCAGGAATGAACGGGACAAATTTAAAGGATAAAAAGACTTACTCAGGCTTTTAGTAAATACTGTTTATAAACAGCAATGTTAATTATAGGAATACAGAAATAACAAATTCTAATTTATTATTTTATGAATTGAAAATATGAGAAATGAAAGAGCAATAAATTAGGGAATGGATGAAGTTTGAAATTCCTGCTACAAACCAAAATTACCAAGTTCTTCTTGTTGCAAAATTTGTACTAGATCAAAATCCTTCACAGTGTATTTTTAGAGAAATAACTCTGAGAACAACTAAGTTGAAATTGTAACAGTAAAAACAAAACCAAGGGTGGGGTATTCTAAAGAACATGAGCCTACTTATTAAGTGTAAACACAGTCAGGGTCCTACCGCAACTTTTTAACTTTTAAAATCTCTTTCTGCCTTAGTGGGTCTCACACCAGGCAGAACTCTGTTTATTTTCCCTGTTGATTTCACATAAGGAATCCTGAAACACAGAAAGGAGAGGAGCGGAGTCTCGCGGACGGCGGGGTGCGGCTCGGGGCCTGGGCTTCCGCACATTGGACCTTCGGTTTGCAGGCACGAGGCGAGGGGCCCTCGGAAACATCAGGGAAACGAGGTGCACTGGGTGGGCGCTGCAGGCACTGCTAGCCGCAGGCAGCCCCTCGTCCACACCAGACCGCCTCGTGCCCTCTGCTAGTGCCACGGCAGGGTCAAAGCAGGAGTTCCGTGGCGCCGGACAAACCAGCAGACTGCCCCAGACCCACGTGGACAGGAAATGAGGACACACAAACCCATCAGGGATGAAAATTTTAGTCTTCCCTGCATTTTACATGCACAATTTTTTCAAACATCTATCAAGTTGTTATTAGAGTATAAATACTTATTAACTTGTCTGAACTGAACTACTCAGTAAAATGAAATGTTAAGTATTTCCTTTGACCCACAGGTGCTACTGAAAATCAATGACACCCTACGGGCTCCCTGATCTGAAAACGGAGAACAAGCATACGAGGGCTCTCCCTGCATGGCAGGCACAGGTGCAGCCCGCTGTGATGAGCACCACGTGTGCAGGGACAGAGTCAGCCTGTCCCAGCCGCTCACCTCTGGGCGTGGGTGGCTTCCCCGCCTTCTCCAGACACCTTTATTGGGCACGCACCCCCTTACAGGGAAGACAGTTTACTTTTTAATTAAAGGAAATTTAAAAGAAACTTCATCAAAATCATTCCATTTTTAGATCTCAAATTTCAATCTTACGCGTTACCCCAAACACTTCATTTGGTGGCTTTCAAATGACCAAAAAGTAAAAACACAAAAAGGTCTGAAAGTGAGTTATTTTCTTCTCGATAACCTCGTTGTAAGGATTCCGAGGTAAAGGAAAAACTCAACCTCAGAAAAACCATCCAGAGGAAGTCCCCTCTGTTGTGAGATCTAGCTTTGGCACCATCTGCGTGTGGGACGCCCTCATGACGTCACCAGAGTAGTAAGTGAGCCTGGCCCACCTGACATCCCACTGGAGAAAAGAGTGTGTGGTCATACCCAAATTGCACACAGTACGAAAGTGTTCCCCGAATTCCGCATGTACACAGAAAACTGTACTTCTGAAGCTGAGACAACTTATGTTCAAAGAGGGCTCGGGGATGGACTTGAACAGGTGCCACATTCCGGTCTGGATGGAACGTAGTCTTTCGCGTGCTCACTGAGAGCTGCCTTTTTTATAGGTGACTCAATACTTCCGAAGGACTCATAAAACTTTTAGAGATTTTCACATTTCTAATCAGTCTAACTTAAAATTGCTGCTTGATACAGATACATAGGATATTTTCAGAAACTTTAAACTTAATTAAAAACAAGGAGAAATTACTATCTACCTAAGACAATTTCTTCAAGATGCCCTAATTATCCCCAAAGAAGAGTGAAAATATACTGCCTCACATTAGAAAATACTCATTTTTGTAAGACTGATGACTCATACTCACATAACGTCTATTGGGGTTAAAATAAACTGTCATATTATATATAATCTGCACGTAAGAGTTCCAAGAACCACGGCTCCAGAAGCAAGCAGCGCCCTGTGTCATCGGTGCGCGGGCGACACCTCGGGCTGCCAAAATTTTAATGAGGACACACCACGCTACATATCCCTGCTGACCCAGCGCCTGCACGCTACCTTCCCGCGGGGTCTCACATGGACATTTCGCAGACACGCCGCACTATGCCTGCCCCTCCAGAAAGAGAAGCCCCCGCGGGAAAGTAGGCTGTGACCAGACTGCCCCATGGACCAACGCACGTCTGGGGAGCTGGGGAGCCCCCACCAGTGCCCCAAGTGTGCGCACGGACCTCCACTGACGTGCACTTCATAGAGGGAGTACTTGGGGGACGACAGCATCCGCATGTCAGGCCGGAATTTCTCCGCCAGCGTCTCGATGACATCCTGGGTGGTAGCAGTACTAGACACCCTAATGCATTTCGTTGCAAAGTTTCCAGCAGCTTTATCTTGAAAATAAAATCTCATCACTCCATGGAACTCCAAATCCTAAAAGAAAACAAAAAGATACGATTTTGGAAAAATAACATTCTAAACTCCTTGGCCACCCTCACTGCCCCCCGTGTGACTGAGGTCCACAGGCTCATCAGTTCCTCCTACCGTCGCCCGCCACTCTAGCCCAACCAGTCATCCACCTTCGACAGACACCAAGGATCCAGCCACAGTCTCGTTCAAAGCAAGTCAGATGATGTCACTCCTTCCCATTACTCCTGGCAAAGACCGTCCTACGGGCTCAAAGCCCATCACAAGTTAAGTTTTCTCTAATTCCTCCCAATCTATTTGCTGATTCTTCACTAATAATTATGACCTAATAACTGTAATAGTTATGGGACAGTAAAATGTGGCTAACTGTATAAACCATATGAAAAGTAAAGCAGAAAATGAAACACTGACACATACTTCTAACCCCAAAGCTTTACTATGCTTGCTCAGACCCTGTCAGATCACTAGGCAGTCTGTCCTACCCACTTCCCACTGCCCCAGGGAAATACAGGGTAAGTTAACATGTGTGTAAAAAGAAACACACACACACACACACACACACACACCACTGAAGCACAGATCTTGGGTTGAAATAGGGCCACTGATTATGGGGGTGACACTGAAAAAGCTTTATCAGTTAGCAAAATGGGTACTAACAGCCCTGCCCCTGTCTCTCAACAATCCTATAAACTGCGTCTTTGTACAGCTCAGGTCAGGTGGCAAAGAAAGTCAAACAACATCCTTTTGGGAGGTTTGTCTTTTACTCTGGCACCCCTGGACCTCCATGAAGTAACAATACCTGTGGAAGACGCCCCTGAACTGTAATCACGTCTGTCAGCACAGCACCGTACCGCTGCGACCGGCACCGTACCGCTGCGACCGGCACCGTACCGCACCGTACCACTGCGACCAGCACCGTACCACTGCGACCAGCACCGTACCGCACCGTACCACTGCGACCAGCACCGTACCGCACCGTACCACTGCGACCAGCACCGTACCACTGCGACCAGCACCGTACCGCACCGTACCACTGCGACCAGCACCGTACCGCACCGTACCACTGCGACCAGCACATGAGACGCCGCTGAGCTGTGACCGTGCGTGTCAGCACGGCACCGTACCACTGTGACCAGCACTATAAGCACAACATTCCCGGTATTAACCACAGCTCCTGCGTGCCAAGTACGTCCTATACTTCCTCGATGTCAAGAGCTGTCCGAACGCTTTCCCCTGCAGAGCTTCCCCAGCTCTCCTCTGCTGGCCGGCCCCTCCCCTCACCTGTCCCCTGGCCTGTCCCTCTCAACATCCAAATGTTTCCACTTCAGGTTACACTCTCCCTATCCACCCCCCCCTCAGGCTATCCTAAGACTGCAGAGGAGGAAACAAGAATTACTCTACACCTTTAGTTGAATAAATTTAGGTCTCTATGGGAGTCCTACTGCGATCCCAGGATTCTGATGCTATCATCACCACTACCGCTCTGAAATCACCTTTAGATTACACTAACAGTCTCAAACATTAACTGGCAAAACTACCCTGGCTCCTCCCATGCCTCATGCTTTATAGATGAAGTTGAACCAAAAAGGCAAAGTAGCCTCCCACTTGATCATTTTGCTAACACAGTAATCTTCCATCATTTGCGGCATGACTAAGCCAGGTGCGCTTAGACAAGAAAACACCACTTTCTCTGGTAACTGCCCACGAACACCTCCACGCTACCAGACGTCAAAGATCGGGGAGCGAACGCCCAACTGGGCAAGAACACAGAGGAAACCATCAAGAATGAATCTGGTACCACAAGCATGGAAAAGGGGAGACCCCTCAACCACCCTCATGAAAATGCCTTATGTACAGATTACTACCATTTTTAAGAGGAAACTACAAATACAGAATCTGTTATTAATGTGGTTTTGCTACTGATCTCACATAAAATGTTGAGATAAAAGGAAAAAAAGGAACAAACCCAAGGGCAGAGATCCAAAAAGCAACAGCATGTCTACAGAGAAATAGTATTTCTGTTGATGTTTTTAAAAAAACAAATCTCCAGGTTCTACAGTGAGCCTAAATAAAGCAGCCTACTAAAACTACCTTTGATTTCATTTGCACTATATAAATGTTAATAAATAATAACTTAGTTTGCCTGGTTACCTCATTGTCACACAGAATACCTGAGTACAGCTATTACTAGAATAACACCTGAATAAATTAATACATTAGCACTGTTTAATTATTCAAAAAATAAGTTTGGCCTGTGTGACTAAGTCCACAGAATTTTATCAGACCTGAGAAGATTGATAAAATCAAGTTCCTGAACCTCAAAGATCAAACCAACTGTAGTAATAACTAATATATATTAGTTATAATATAACTAATAATAACTAACATATATTAAGAGCTACCGTGTGCCAGATACGAAAAGTTCAGCATTTAATTCCTCGAACATGAATTAGGTACTGTTATCATCCCAACTTTCCAGGGGCTACGAAACAAAGTCCACGGAGGTTTTACGTCTGTCTGAACTCAGATCAGACAGCTCGCCAAGGAGCAGGGCTGAGACACAGACAGCATGAGCTGTCCCCTGAAACTACAACTCTTACACCACCATGCCCTAACCCTCCTTCAAGACGCTTCATCTTCTAGAGGAGGATGGGTATGAACGTCTTCCATTTCTTTACAACACGTAGAAGAGGGGTTCCAGAAAAACAGTGAAGAGAAAGAATTCTGACACTCAGAGGGGTCAATAACCTCTGAGTTATTGCCACAACCCCCGCCTAGACAGATCTGGCATCCGGATACAAGATTCTCAAAGCTCACTCTGGGCTCCGAGGCGAGGCGAGGCTCACACTGTGCGCGGTGCCTGATGAATTTCTCTATTAGCCTGTGAGCCCGCACGCTGCAGGGTGCGAGGGACACCTGGAGTTTGCAGCAGGGCAGAAATGAGTTGGCATTTCAACTTAATAGCTGTGTCTTTGAGTGAGCTCTCCGATATGCATGTGAGCTCCAATTTCCTTGATTATAAAATACAAATAAGCTTGTTTTGAGGAGTAAACTATATAAAGAATGAGCAATCAGCACTCCCACTAGACAGAAGCTTTCCTGAGGGGCCTCTGATTCATTGTTCTAGGCCCTCCCTCAGTCGCTAGTACATTGCTTCACACATAAAAATAACAACAAATTTGAGTCAAAACTTCCAATAACAATATCCGACTCTTCCAGCTGTGGTTTGTCTGTTCTGAACTGAGATGGGCTCTGGGACAAACTTCCAATCTGTAATAAGCAGCCGTGAAGTTTCAATGACAGGCTAACAGTTACAACTGTACAAAGACAAATGCTTCCTTAACAAAGTCCTTACACAAACTACGCAAAAGACAACACTATTTAAAATTTAAAAACACTGTTGTAGGTCCCCCAATACCTAAATGTACTGCCCACTTGCTAGCAGCATATTTTCAGGAAGACACTTGAGTTTGGAGCAGGCAGGCCAATAACTGGGGTACACCGGGGTAAGCACTACCATCAGCTCCGGCAGCCACCATGTGCCAAGGGCAGTAATCTAGAGGCAGAAGATACAATGTATCACCTGTTTTCCTTTCCTTACAGGTTATTTTTTCCTGGCAGGAAAACAAGTTTCTTTCTTCCCTAAAGGTGTATACTTACTTACCTTTGTATAAACTTCTCCCTGAGAAATATCACCACAAGGATTATTACAATGGAAATGGAACACTCCTTGGAGTGGACTTAATGACAACCCAGAAACAAAACTATTTTAATATTTATCAGAAAGAACAGACCAAAAGCAACGACCACCCCAAACCGCAGAAGGCTGTATCATCAATTATTAGAGAGCCAATGCAAAGAACTAAGGGTTAAAGGTGGAGATTCACTTTGAAGTATTTTACCAATATCTTAATCAATGCAACTGATCATCAATTCGCCCTCCCCAAACCAGTAAAAACTCACCAGGGCAATCCTACATCTCCTTTTGCCCAAAGTACTCAGAAGCATTGGTTCTAAAGCCAACCGGCGGGCAGTGCTAGTCCCTCTTTCTCACTGTGACCGGCACTCGTGTGAAGCCACTTCCAGCCCACAGCAAAGCAACGCTGACTGGAACGGGTAGTCATCCGACTCCCCGCGGAAAAAAGGGCCGCTGACAGAACACACTGCTTTATTACACACAGAAAATTCATTCCTAACGCTGGTGCTTCCAAAAATAGGTGCAAATGTTAAGAAAAAATACGGCTGTGTCTCAAAACACACACACATTATTAGTACATAAATTGATCAACTAGACAAGAGCCATCTGAGTGTTAATAATTTAGGTAGAAGATGGAAAAAATACTTGAATATGGGTTTTTGGAATCTTACTTATATAAACACTGTTTCTTAAACACCAGTACTTCAAGGATACTCTTCAAAATTATATGCATTTCAGGAAAGCTTAAAATAAGTAACAACTGTAAAAGGACGTCCTGGCCAGGCTCATGCTTACTCCTCCCATGGCATTCATTCCCAGAGGGGGCCCTTTCCCTGCCCTTCCGGCCTACTCCCCATTCCTATGGGAGGGGGGCTCCTAAGAAACCCTCCGTTTTCTTCTTAAAATATTATTTATGTATCTCTTATCAAGTATAATTCACATCCAGTGCTACGTCAGTTTCAGGTGGAGAATGTAACAGTTCAACTACACAGAGTTCTCACGCTCACCACCGCAAGTGTCCTCTTAACCCCTTCACCTAGTTCACCCACTCCCCCCAACCACCAGTTTGTTCTCTGTATTAAGAGTCAGTTTGTCTCTCTTTTCTTTGCTTATTCACCCTTTTCCTTTTCTGTTTAAAAGATTCTAAGTCACGTCTGCACCCGATGGTGGGCTCGAACAACCCAAGATGGAGAGTTGTAGGCTCTGCCCACAGAGCCGGGCCGGCGCCCCCGTTCTGTTTCTAATGGCACTAATTATGGCACCCTGTAAATGGTACCTTACAAGGCTTCTATAAAAATTAAGTAAATGG